CTGTGATTTGACAATCCTTTGGCTTCGGTATACCCCCTTTTGTATCCCGGGGGCTTTCAGCCCTCTGAAGCACAGCACCGGTCCGGAAGGATGCAGGATGGAGGAGCTCACCGACAACACTGTTTCTCATAGCCAGCCCACACCCGAACATGCGACGCTATTCCCCCCTCTTTCTGTCTCACGGTGTACTTTTGGGTCCCGTCGTGTCCGAGTTGGTAGGCCGGCGACGACGATCGTTGCAGGGTAGGGGGAACCTTCGGGCGTTGCAGTGCAGTAGGGCGAAAAGGCGACGGCTGACAGTGGGATGGTAGCGGGCGGCTTCATCATGGGACTTTTCCAGAATCGCATGCCGCGCCAGCTTGGGGTTTTGGTTTTTTCGTCACATGGAGATTTGGTGATCGGCTTGATTTTCTGGATTGGGTAATTTCAGATGGTGATGATATTATTGGGGGGTTTGTGTGTGCCCGTTTCTTGCATGCCTTGGCTGGGTTGGGTGATGTGATGACTTGTGCTGAGCTTTGTAGATGCGTAGTAGTATGAGTGATTTACAGGGTAAGCTATGTGTATGTACTGCCGGTGTGTTGCCTCAGTGTGAGTGGAAAGAGCGCGAGTTGATTATGCGTTTCTTGCTAGTTTTGCGTTCTATTTGACCCTTTCATGAGTGCTCAGGTTTCTCACCACATGTAGTATCGAATCAACTCTGGGCTTTCATGTTGATATTTAAAACGTAAAGCTTTTCCATCGCTCATGATTGTTTCTCCGTGTAGTTTCCCAAAGTTGATATCGCCGAAAGAGTCGGGAGAAGTCGGCTGCGCTCAGCTCTTATCTCTGGATGCCTCTGTCAAGGTAGGGCTGGCACACTGTGTACTGTCAATCAGGTGATTGAGAAAATATATTCCCCAGTTCACTGAAACTTGGTTTCCCGCCAAGAAGCTAAAATCTCCAAGATCACAGAACATGTTGTCATCCTAGAGTGGTGGTGTTTCAACTCTGAAGACGATGGGTGAAGAAGTATTTCACCACACACATCCGGCCAAAAGCCTATTCACTGATTCTTATTAACTGAAAACTGAGTTTTCAGTGTCGCCAAAGGCTGGTAGATTTATAACTTTCAATTCAGAAACCAAACTCGAACAGTTTCGCTGTCTCTTATATCAATCTACCTACCCTAGTGCTCGAGATCCAGAGCGCCGAAGCACGGATTGCACAGCAGTACATGATATTTAACAAGCCCTGTCTTCTGCTATATCATCATACCAAGAAGCTTTGAGACTGCTATTCCCAAATAAATCTGTTGTCTCTTCAGCTTTGTTTCAGAAAGCTTCTTGTCCCATGACGGCACAGGTCAGGCTCCAGCACTCATCTCCTCGCCAAATAGCTGATTTAACTTCTAATAATAACACCTCCCATTCACTTTCTAGAACCTCAGGTACGAAGCATCAGCAGGAGTTACTAGTTACCTTTCATTGTGGTAGGGTTGTCGAACTGAGCGTGTTTGAAGGTGCCATAAACGACAATCAAGTATCAGAAACATTGACACCGCAGAGCCGTATCCCGGATATCTCGAGTCTCAGAACCGGACCACACTATCTTCAGACAGAATCTTATAAAATCAGTCAAATACCAAGATCCAATTATCGCGAGGGAATGATATTGTGCTGAGAATGAAAAGTACAGGTATGGACACGTAGGAGTGCTAAGCCGCAACTTCGCGCTAGAGCTAGGCGAGTAAACTAGAAAATTTTCTCTCACGGCCAAGCATTGTGGTTTTCCTAAAAAATAACTTCTATGCCAAAAATATAAGTCAAAAAGTGAGAATATGCCCGAGCTGAGACTCGAACTCAGGTTTCCACGGTTCTGAAATTGATCCACAACGTGGTGCCCTAACCACCTAGACTACTCGAGCGTATCATGGAGTGCATATGCAGTGTAGACTCCATCATGAACCAGTGGTGGGCTCAGTATGGGTGTCGATTTGATGTCCAAATCAGTGAAATCGATCAAAATGCGAAGGATGAGATGGTTGGGCTGTTACGCTTTAGTTCAAAATCCCCTGGCTTGCACTCTGTCATGTATGATCCATGATGGAACAGTAGAAGGTCTTCACCGCTTGAAAATATTGTTTAATGCAGAATGCTTCTATCTATTTCGTACAGGAAACTCGATTGTGCGTAGGAAAGAAAGACTTGACTGCATGTGAGCTATCTCTATGAGTGTTATGTGGCCTTGGTCTCAATTACTGAAAGAAGACAATGAGTGTTGGAATGTAACTTTAGTGCCAAGCCGATTCTGTTACGTATAAGGTGTTGTAGAAACATTAGAAGAGATTTTGTTTCAAGTTATGAGCCCATCAATGCTTTGTTCTCACACAAAGTGCCTTTTATGCTCTCGTGTATCCCCCCAGCGAGAACTTTAGCGATTGAAAACTCTCACTTAGTGAAAAAAGACCTCTGTTCCAGAGAGTGTGGAATTACCCCAGAAGTCCCAGCAATCCTGAACTAGAGATCGTGGGTTGATATGGGCAGGGAAATGCCCACCAAGTATTTCCGGTGCCTTTTTGCTGAAGAACGTAACATTTCCTTGGCGCTTTGCCCAGTCCAGAGGCTGTTGAGAGTTGTGTTAGTTATTCAAGTTGTAATAGCCGAGATTAAGCGTTGTTAGAGGTCACAAACCGTGTAGTACGCAGCGTCGCCGTAGTAGTTGAGTACGCCAACTGGCTGAGCCACATAGGGGAATGCCCCGGCCAGTGTTCCCTCCTACATGAATTATACTGAGTCAGTAACTTCCCTGTCATACTTGGATTTGATAGTTGAGCTTACCCTCTTTGCTTCTTTGTACAGTCGCAAGCCACCGTATGGACCCTGAATGTAGTTAAGCATCGACCAAGTAATGAGCTCCTCAATTCCCCAGTCGTACCCTGGCGAAAGAGACCTCATTCCCATGTACTGCCAGGCAGTCCACGCAATCGGGCTATCTGTCATACCGATGGCGACTTGTAATGGCACGCTGGACTCAATGGCCCAGTAATCTTGGGTCCAAGTCAGACCTGGGTCGTTCATGAACTGGAACATGATCGTCTCCTCTGGGGTGGTCTGGTTATTTTGGAAACGAGCAATGTCATCCGGGGTCGGCGCGACGCTAAAGAGGTTAGACAAGATGGAAACCAGCGAGTCGGGGAAGTCAGCGGCCATGAAGCGCAACGTGTGACTTCCAAAATCTCCACCTTGGCCGACGTATTTTGTATATCCCAGCTGCTGCATGAGATGGTCGAAAGCTTGTCCCATGTCTCTCAACCCAAGGCCAGGGAATCGCGGGGCAGGTGAGAATCCAAAACCCGGCAGGTCAGGGGCCACAACGTGGAATGCTGGCAGGCTTGGATCCGGGGGACTTGTGAGAAGATCGATTATGCCGGCAACCTCATGGAAACTGCCCGGCCATCCGTGAATAAAGAGAAGCGGGATGGCATCTTCCCGTTCGGACCGGTGGTGGATGAAGTGGAGAGGAATCGGGTGCGTGTAGTTTTCACCGGCTCGAACAATCGTTGTGAACTGTTTGAACTTTTCGTTCATAGCTGCTTCAACCTTGCGCCAATCATACTCATCGGACCAATGACGGGACAAGTTTTGCAGAACTCGAGAGGGAACGCCATCAGCGAAGTCGTCTTGGTTGATATCTATCGCGACTCGAAGTTGGCCCGCTTTTTGCTTGGTTGCCCGAATGAATTCATCGTCAACCTTTATCGAGAAAGGCTGAGGGTGGTCAGAGAAGCTTGCTTCAAAATTCAGAGATTGCGTCAAGCTTGTTTCGTTTGCGTCGCCGGAGACAGCTTGAAGGCAGCCGAGAGACAGAATTGCTGCCTGAAGGATGCGTTTGACCATGATGAATAAAGTGATGGTTTGAGGTAAGACTCAGGATGTGAATGAAACCAGAACAGAGTTCCTAACAAATACCATGGCTCGGTTTATATATGGAATCTTGACACATTCGGCCTCCACTCAATCAGCCCCCAAAAGTCCGCAGTCTAATCTTCTGTTAAATGTCCGCTCTCATTTGTAAGTGATCTACATCGGTTCTAAATTGAATCCGAGATGAAACCCTTCTATTGACTAATCGTGATGTTGCTTCGGAGTCCGTATTACGCTTCACATCCTTAGCAAGTGGATTCGCACGCGTCCTTCGGATTCCGGACAGGGTTCCTACATTGTCTAGACTCGGGGATGCTTTCTACTAGTCGAATCATCGTCTTGAAATCTCAATAAAATTTATTACTGGTTGACTCAGCTTTATTAACTTGATTCCAATTAAGTCCGCAAAATAACTATGCATGAAGTTGCTATCAAGAAAGCCGTAAACGCCAAGGCCCTCTACTGTCTATGTTTTCGTGGTAGTTTTCGAGATTTTCTTTTGTCACTGCGCATGAATAGATATTTATTGTTCGCGATAAGGTTAATACTTTCGTATAAGTCTTGACTATATCATATTTGATGAATATTAAAAGGGTCAAGCCTCGTAAGGTACTGCTATCATTAGATATGCCAGACACATGAAGGCAAACATACACATATAATTACGGGACTCTGCGACAAAGCAGTTCTTGAAATGATTGAATGGCGTGTCTCCACATACAGGCATAGCATCTTTCGATGCGTATACACGGTCCTTATACTCACGGCAGGTCGAGAGACAAACCTGAGATGCATTCATATACGGTTATATGGTTATAGCAGGAGACATCGTAGAATATGAAGACGACCAAGTCGAAATCTCCCAACTATATTTTTGAAAAAGATCATCGCTATGGAGAAGGGAAAGAAATACTTATCTGAAGTAAAGGAAAGTAGCGTATTTAAGACTGGATTCCTAAATCCATAGATGCCCAAAGAAAATCAAAAGCACTCAAAATTTAACTAGAGTATTCAAAACATGCTGCCACCAATTCAAGCTGTACCGTTGCTATCACCGTTGTTGCTGGGTCTTGACATTCCAGCCATCAACGTCACTTAGGAACCGTATTTCGTGTGGCAATCCCCTCTCTTGTTGAGATTCTTAGCCGTGTTGTGCTGGATCGTTGCTTCCTCTTGATGCCTCCTTAGACTATCATTTCCTTTCTTCTTCCAAAGCTCCTCATACTTCAGGTTGAAGGAGTCTCTATCTAATGCGTGGCTGTTGGGCGGTAAGCTTTGGAGCATGCAGCGATTGGAGTAGCGGGTTGCACATGTCAAACCTTTCGGTGGCGTGTCCAGCACTGTATGCCATCTGGGCCAGATCCTGATGGTCTTGCTTGTAGTAAGCTCTGTTCTTGAGTATTCCGCGATCAGGGTGCTGTTTAGAGGTTGGGGTGGTGCCTGGACCAGTTGTGGCTCTGCTGACAGCCTCGGACTTGTAGTAGACTTGCGCAGTTTCGGCAGTCTTCTGGCAGTCTTTGTAGTTCCAATAGTCTGTGTGTACCTCAGTGCCTGTGATGAACGTTCCGCCAGGTGTAATCTGGTCGCTGAAGTTGGAAGGTGAGGATGGCATGGTGAGAACGATTCGACGTGCTATAGCGTATGTGTGATTTAGCAAAGGGAAACTGGCAGAAGAACAAGTTGCTGGACGATTGGTCAAGGGAAATATAGTATATAGGATGATAAAAGTGAAGAAGATAACGCTACCTTTATGTTAAGTCAAGAAATGGACTCGGTGGACGTAAAGTAGCCGTTGAAGTATGCGTGAGCGAGTTCACCGTGGTCCACGGACACATAAGCACATGAGCTCAGACAAGGTCACTTCGCGTATCTGTTCGAAGGAAAACGGTTGAGGCCATGGCGGCCAAGTCAAGACCCGGGCCGTATGGACCAGTGATTCGCGGCCATGAAGCCCAGTGATTCGCGGCATTGAAGGCATTTAAACTAATACCATTACATGCTGACAATATGTAGGATGACTGTTGTTTGCTGTCAGTGGAGGTTATACAATGGATGTCCACTGTGGTTGGCGCTTAGCATCAAATCAAAATCACCCGACAGCGACTCACGGCTCCGGCGGCTAAGCGCTCCCCCGCCTAGACTGCCCACCAGCTGTTCATCACTTCTTCTGTGCATATTTCGTGAGCATTAATTGCCTCTGACTTGTTCCCTCTTCTCGGTACTCTTCTCAGTCTCGTCGTTTATTTCCATCTCACTTTTAACATGGCATCTACCGGCGCCATCTCACGGATCCCTTCTGATATCATCGCCCACATCCTCTCTCAACTGGAAACCATCGAAGACTTGACCGTTACCATTCGAAGCCATCGCATCTTTCTAAACGCCTTCAACGACGGCCCTTATTCGATTGCTAGCGCCATTGTCAAGAGCCAGATTCCAAGCGTCGCCGCTCCTCTTCTTGTCGCGTTGGTAGAGTCTTCCCGTATCGCCCATCGAGTCGACATAGATGTATTTCACGAGATTCTGGATCGCCTCGCAAGCGCTATTTCTAGTCCTAGTCAGACGACATCATTCTTTCTATCAAACCTTTCCCTACCGGAGCTCGCCCTTTGTAGTCGCCATTACGCTGCTGCCGAGTCACTTGCGCATGATCTGGCCGCCGAGGTGAAGCCCATCGCTATCCAGAAACTTGATTTTGGATGCTCCGCTTTGCCGCACCTCACCTCAACGGAGAAAGCTCGACTTGTTAGGGCATTTCTACGATATCAGCTTTTGTGCAATCTCTTCTGTCCTCCCGATAGCGCCTGTCCTTTGTCGGATGACGATGACGATGACAGTGAGGAAAGGCTAATCGAAAATAGGCTGCACTTCTTTTCTATGTATTCTCCCTGGGTGAATGAACACCTGATGTGCGCTTTCACTTGGCTCCAGCGGATCCTTCGCCAAGGCGAGTACATTCCTAACTAATTGCGCTCTCTCCAAGCCATACTATAACTCATGATTCTATCTAGCTTTTGACGAACTTGCATGGCATGATGTGGAATGGGGCGAGTTGCCTGTCGATAACTATATGGAACCAGATGAAAATCTTCGTCTTCAGGGATTTGTAAGTTGACACGACTCGCTTAAGCTTCCCCTTTTTCTAGCGCGATATTTTGTTCTCTTCTCTGCTGCTACTTTTATTACCCGTATCTAACTCTAGCGCCTCATCAGCTTTCCCAGGGACTCGAGTTCCTAAGTGACGTTGCCCGTGCTGATTCACATGCTTCACGGGCTCGTCTTTTGCGGCTGGATGGTTATCTGTCACGGGAGTTCGAACGACTTCCCTCTCAGCAATTCTACCACCGGTTTCCTAGCCAACGTCTCGTTGTGGCCACTGGCCTATCAGACTTGGATACGCCACTGCAAGACTGGACAGCGGATCAACTGGGGCTTCTCTCCCAACGAGGAGACGGGCCGCGGGACTCGATGGGATCGACTTCGTACCTTTTGTGGCTCGGAGCTAACGCTAGACGATCCAGTTCCGGGGAAAGCTCTGATATGCACGAGATAGATGACGATACGAATCTGTGGCAGTTAGGTTACAACGTCTGGGACTGGGAATTTCCAGATTCCACTCCCTCGACGAGCGTCATCAGAAAAGCTTGCCATGAGGTGCGATCCATGCCTCCTCCTTTCAAGCCAGACATGCAGTTCGATGATGTGATATTGCGATCTCAAAGGCAGCGCTCGGATATATATTTGGCAGGAGGAGACGGCTACTGGCCGATGGGCGGTGCGATTGATTTTGGCGGCATACAAGGGTTGAGCCCGGACAAGATCGCGGATCTGCTGTACAAATGGGGCATCGATATGGATGTGTAAACTGATTCCACTCGGTCAATCGTCATGTTGACTCGGAGTCCGCATTACGCACAGATTTCGCTTCATATTGTCAGCGAGTGGGATCACAAAATCCTTCGGATTCCGGACAGGGTTCTCTATATTTTCTAGACTCCGGATGCTCTGCGTATGTAAAATTGAATCATCGCGAATTTGGTAGATTCTGGCAAAACTTTTGCCACTGGAATAGAAGAGTAGAGGCCTATTCCTACATACTTATTTATACAAACTAAATATCATCGTAATCTCGCTCAATAACATCCCAAAACTCGCCCGCCAACCTATCGACATCCACACCCCAGTGGAAATGCCAATATTCAACAGCTTTATTGTACTCGAAATCAAATAGACAGATGGGTAAAATATCGTCAAAAACCGCGGGATTGCGGGCTTGGGAATCCTGTGCTCTTACGACATATTCCAAGCAGGCTGGGTTCTGACGCTTCTGTAAGATGAGAGTTTCTTTCTCCTTTCTTCCATAAGTAGCCATATTCATACCACTTTCAGCGACCTTGTCAAGCCATAGATATATACCTGACGATAGAAGGGCAAACAGCTTTTGCTGATTTTGAAGAATTCCTTTGTTGCCACCTTGACCGGCTCTTCGACAGTAGCGGGCAGGAAATCCATCTATAAATAAGGCCTGAATTACGGACATAAGTGTTGACCCTTCCCATTCGAGGTGAGGCGTGTACGAGTACCGTTCTGCTGCACGGTCAAGTTGGATATGTTGACTATAATGGATCTCCTGATGTTGCATCATTCGGACTGTAGTCCGGCATATGATTTCCCACTTTCTCTTCTTTTGCCTAAGCTCAGAAGTTCGAAGAGGCTTTGAGAGTGCCAGTCGGAGAGGGCGAGTGAATCGTACCATCCCGATAGCGGCAGAGTGAAGAAGGGCCACCCTCAGCCCGGACTGAGTTGAAGCTCGTATGCCCCCCAGTGTGCCAACGCATTTTTGACCTAAAAGGTACGTAAAAACGTCTGGATCTGGGTGCTTGGTCGAGTGGCTACCGAGAGTATATGTCCTCGCCACCCCAATTAGGTTTAGGACTGGCTGCTGGAAGAAATGAGGAGCAACCAGTTGCTGGAAATGAGCTAAAGAAGTAGGATCAGGTGCTGCAGCGGTGCTGCAACCGACTAGGAAAATCCAATCAGACTCTCCATATCCATTGTCGCTGCCGGATGCCTGACGATACATCGATATAGTGTTTTCAATCGCATTCCAGTTGTATTTCCGGTCTTTCCGTAAGGAATTTAAAAGAATAATGTGACCCGGATTCCTACTAAAAGTTAGTCATCAAAGCACCTACAACAGGAGACATACTTGCAATCCGTCAGAGGTTCCTTCATCGACACAGTCGCTGAGACCCATATTAAGAAGCTTCTCGCATAATGCAAGATTGAAAGAGCAGGCAGCATACTGTTGATGTCAATAATAGGAACAGAAAGGTTGGCGGGATCAATGTATCTGTACTTACGTGAAGCAGAGAACAGCCATTCACATCGCGTACAAATGGTGATGCTTTCCTGTTAGAGAACAACAGTAGCATCTCATCGAGACGACCCAAATATACGGCTCGGAAGATAGCGTCATCTCCGGCTAGGACGTAGTATACTCGAAGACTAAATGGGATGCTTGCCTTGCGCTTCTGGATAATAAATTCCCACTTATTTAAGAGAAAACGCCTTGAAGGGTTGTGGATCTTTTCATGATGCTGATTTGTTATATTCGTGATAAGATCAGTATGCAGCTCGTCTATGATTGGATTCTTAGTAGTATCTGCATTTCTGAAGGGCGATGGAGATTGAGCATGAAACTGATGGCTTGTATCTGATTCAAGCATTGCGTCTCTATCAATAGAAAGGTTGTTTTTGTCACGAAATAGGATGGATCGTTCTAGCTGGGCTTCCTGAACTGCACACATACTATTCAAGCTAGAGCAAGATTAGCTCGGGGAAATCGCAAGGTGGAGCAGTGAGTGCTCATAGTCTAGGTTGACACACAAACTCAACATAATAGTCATCTCCTGGAGCTTTTGTTCGGTTTTGACTAGATTGGAGCTTGAAATCAGTTTTACCGATGACAGCTTTCGCCAGACGTTAGTCTGGTCATCAATCCGACGTAGGGCCTGATCGATATTTTCGGATGCGGATGCTAAATCTATTTCACATTTTTCGAAATAATCAGTGCGCCACTGATTCATTTCAGTCCGTTTGAACATGCTGTTTAAATACGCCAGGTGCTGTTCTTTAGCTATCAGAATTGCTTCTCGAAGGCTATTGATGCGGTGTTGATTCGTCTTGAGCCGAGTGGGAAGGTCGTTGACCTCATTTCGCAAACGATTTGTCGCCATTAGGGTTCTGCAGAAACCCGACCCTACCGAAAGCACATCCATTGTGGTTTTCGAGGTCGAATGTTGAAGAGACTTGTATTGCAGTGGAAAGGAACGAGGGGCAAAAGATGAAGAATGCAAGGTAAGATTAAGAGGAGGACGATGCGGGACTTATATCAATCCTCGGTTCAAACTTAATTGAAAGATGCAGTTTGCCTTATCTTCATGCATAGACGCCTAATCTGAGGAGAGGATGAAAGCTTACTGGATACTGTGATATCATTTGTCCGAACGTAACCATACAGCTTGACGGCATTGCCAAAGTGCACAATAAGGGATGGCACGGAATCGGTCCGCATATACATTTTTTGTGCTGTTGTAGTTTAGTGACCATTTGATTGGTTGCAGTTGCAAGGAAGTGTGACTTTGATCTTGGCAAGTCGCAGTTTATACATACAGAATGGATAAGTCAGCGCTCGGCGTCTCTTTCGCCTTACATGAACGGTGTTTTGATGCATGATTATTTGTAGAGCACTAATATACCTAATTCACATCCCTTCGTATGTGTCGTCTTCCTCTCGTAAATTAAATGCTTTCTAACTTAGGACCTGACCATGCTTAAACTGCTAAAGGCCTTGAGGAAGTATTTCCCTCTTGGATATATACATGTAGATAAGAATATGAATCTATCTTTGTATATGGGTGAAATTGTAAGCGATCTTGTCTCCAGATTAGAAAAAAGATGCCTCGAGTTTTTTGACTAGCACTACTCTTTATTATACATCTTTCGACTAGGTATTATCGATAGAAGGATCGACGTGCGTGTTGGTCCTGAAAATATCGACGACAAAGCCGGATATTCGCCTTCCTTATCTTCTAACTGTATCCCTAAAGGAGACTTTTGACCTGATGAAGATGAAGATAATAAAACTGCGCTTCCTCAAAAACCTGATCTCCCCTCTTCAATACTAACAGGTGCTAGCATCTTCCTGCTTTTTTGTATGACTTGCTCCTGCTTCAAACATAAGATCGTAATTCCTCTCATTTCCCCAACCAATCATACAGTATGTTCCATTCTACCAACAGTTCGAGCATTTTATATGTTGACATTCAGGGCAACCTGCACCTGGCGAGGTGTTCAGCACTCGACAACCGCACTAAGTTAGATTAGCGACTATAGTTAAGTTAACAGCAGATATTGGTTCAAAACATACACAATGCCAATCCATAGCCAACTAATTAAGTTAGCATGAGCATGCCCCCCCAAGAATAGATAACGGAGATGATCTTACACCAGAGCTCGGACTCATTGGCATGTGCACCGCCATCTCCAAGTATGTGTGGGAGCTGGTTTGAGGCACTAGACGGATAATGAAGCCACCCATTGTGATCATGCGCAGTAGTCTTTAGGAAGACATGAAATAGTGGGAATGTGGTGATACGTCGAGTAGATAGAATGAGAGAACGTGATAAATATCTTGGAGATCGTAGTTGGGAAAGGCGCAAAGGGGGAGTCTGTAGGAATCCCTGTTCCTGTCGGAATTTAGGTTCACAGCTATTAAAACGAGGTAAAACAGGATCTATCCATGTAGCAGGGCAGGGTGGAAAGCTGGCGGAATGGGGGGGGCTTACTATAGGGATGGAGAACAAGAGCAAGAAGTGTCTTTGTTTGCGCGACGCAGGGCAAAAGATATATGAAAGCAGTATGAGTGAGGACGTGGATTGATGAGGACGTAAGTAGGTCAAGTGGGAGGAGGAAAATCCCGATCCTCTTTTATATCTAGTATCTTCCTCTCTGCGCCTATGCATCTTGTCTGCCTGAGCACACATATATCCATTCATACACCAAGCAAATGCCAAGATCTCGGCCGCTCAGCCGAACCGCCATATATTAATTTACACACTTAGGCAGTTAGCCAATCATCAACGGCGCGTGGGATAATTTAGGCTCTTTCCGAGTAATCTAATTGGCTGAAGAAATCACTACCATGTGGATACTAGCATCTGCATCTGCTACGTGAGATTTTCATAGCTGAAGAAGTTGAAAGTAATGGATTGGCCATTCGGTTCCGACAAAATAGTCCCTGTCCTCACTCATATCCAATCGGCATTTGTCACGTTGTACCCCCACTTGTGACGCAAGCTAAGCCATCGAGAATGAGGTGTTTGGCATGTGATGTAGGGTTTCGGCACCCGCCACGTGTGGCTTGATGTGAAGGCGTAAGACCGATAACCGCAGTTTGTACTTAGACGCGCAAAGTTCAGCCTATCAGGCTACCTTAATAGCTGCTCAGGACAGCTTCTTGCTTAACCTCTGATTCGGCTGTCAAATTTGACTGCTAGCTAGCTGCTGCCGAGACATGCTTTTCGTGCGTGCGCGAGCTAGTTGTCCAATTGACCTTACGAATTAGCCGTGGCTCGCGAAAGCCTCTTCGTGTGTATGAGATCCGGTTGTCTAAGTTGACCTATGTATTGGCTGCTGCTGGCGACGTCCTCTTCATATTTATACGATCTAGCTGTCTGATTGAACCTGCTGGCTAGCAGCCGATCGCGATAGCCTCTTCGTATGCGTATAAGTTGGCTGTCTGTGTGAGACTGAACTTAAGAGGTGTGTATAGGTCAATTGCGGTATCGGATGTTAAGTAAGCCACATATGGTTGGTAGTTCAACTTCTGTGGTGGGTGACAAGCGAACCCCTAGAAACATCAGTATCGTCGAGTGCCTAGTTGTTTCAATTCTTTACTCCTATCCTCTGCGCAACAGTCAACCGCGTGCTTATCGTCCCTTGCCTATAGCCATGCCTTCAAAACGCACGAAGTCACAAACGGGAAACTTCTCTCCGAAGGATACCGCTCAACAACTTTCCCGCTCGTCTACTAAGAAGCAGATTCGTGATTACATTTGGGAGCTCGCCATCGAAGATAAGGGTGCTCTACCTGAAGCGCATATTTTAAAAGCATCACTCATCCTATCTTATGCTACCAATCAAGGAAAATACGACCAAATCGTAGTTCTTGGACTCAGAGGCACAACCAACTTGTTCCGATCGAATAGGGCCACAAGTGACCCCGATATATGATTCTACCAAACCTAATTAGAGTGACTATATGCCTGCAGGATCTATTTAGCTTATCTGCTCCCTGGCCACCCATAGACTATCTGTGTGGAATCACGCGAGGCCATAATACGACATTGTGGAAAATACGCCCTCCCACCTTCGTATGGATATTCAATAAGAACATTTTATTATCTTATCTTAAAGATTAAAAAAAAAGATTATTTAATTGAGTATAATTAAGCCTAAGATTGATAGAAATACTTTTGAGCTTTTAAAATACAATAGAAGGCCACGTATCAACAATAGCCTGTAACCCAGAAGTTGTCTAGAAGGCGTCAACATCTATACATTAATGTAAGTTATGATGGTGAAGACGGAGACGCCCTGAGGCGATGAATGTAGCATTGTTGAATTTTTCTCCGATGCCAACTGGTGGAGGAGATAGAACCGGGCGAAGGCCCTTCGTCTCGAGCTTCAGGGCTATAGCTCGTATTCCATGCAACGGGTCCCAACCCTATCAGCAGGATCATTATTGTCTGTTATAGATCAGAAACAATGGCTCTACATCTCCTCAATTTTCTAGAATCTCAACGATTCACAGCAATACATAAACTTGTTAATATTAACATTCTCGATGACAAAGAGATTTTGCAAGAATTTTCATAGTCCTACTCCCTTATATATCGATTTGCCATAGTCAGCACTATTCGGTTAAAGACTTACATCCTTCGATTTCATTCACGATCACCATCCAAGATACGCGGTCGTAGATTCTCCTGTAATATTGTAGCCCGAGTACAACAAGTTAGTCCCCTTGCTGATATTGTTGTGCTATCCCCTTCCTCAGTCCTCAACCTACTGGGTGTTGCATCTTAAAACCACTGATTCAAATTCGTAGACATCGGCGAAGGGCTTGACGTGGTTCACCTTCCGCAACTAGCTTGATCCTTTCAATATCGACCGCAACTCAAATTTCCCGGTATTCACCTAAATTACTTATCTCCATAATATCGGACCTCGGGTCTTTAATACTGTGTGGTAGCTTGTTCGTTAAGCCGTTGCGGCGGTCTTCGACTTGTTGCTGCGCTGCGAATTGCTACATTGCTTCAAGCGTTAACAATGTCCAGAATATTGACATGGTATACGTATGCACTGGGTATTTCGAGTGCTGTTGATTTGCTAATACTTCAAGATGGTACCGCGATGTCGCCGAGGGCAAGTGTTCAACATGATACTAACCCACATAAAGTATAGAATTGCACTCCCATTCCCATGCCCGACTTGACACCGCCCAGAATGGCTGTGAAAGCAATCAAAGGGAGCTATAGGCCTCGTATACACCAAATAGTTCCTCCCCACAGCACCAACCACAATAATGAATAACAATCACGCATTTTAGAATTCGTGTCTCACGTCTTTTATCACTTTTAGAGATGATAAGGAAATTATCCACGGTAGAGGGAGCATCTATAGTAAACATTATATATTCCAGCGTCCATGCAAGCGATTATTTAAATTCATCATCAGAGATAAGCAGTCAACGAGTAGTCAGGTAAAACGAAACTGCCCAGTGTCGCCTTTCTCTTGTTCGAACTATTTTATGCAGTCTTCAATTGCTCATGATCCAATAGTAGTGATCGCTAGTTTCATCTTCCAATTTGCCTTCGCTGGCGTAGCTTTCACTCTCTGCGATAGAGGAATATTGGACTCTGACAAATATGTGTCCTCCTACGAGGTCTTAGTAGTCTGGGAAGAGGCACCAAAACATCCAACCTCAGCTACAGTAGTCCGCCCGTGTTGGTAAAAGCTTAGAGGGACTATAGCATACGTTGGCTCTAGCACTTCATTTATCCTATTAAGCAGAGTATACGTTTGACCGCGTAAGGCCATTGCTCAGGCCTACAGGAGCATATTCTTCGGCCGGGTCAGGGCAGTCTTCAAGTAGGTCTTGGTAATTACTTCTTGACCTTCAGTGGGCGGCTCGACGTACCCATCAGGGAAAAAGGCGCCAAACTCTTGACCATCGTGTGGGCCTGGCAGTTTACAGGGACATCGCTTAGCGACATTAGAGAAAGGCTTTCATCTCATAGGGATATACCCAGACATAAAATTCAACAGGATGCCGCCTGTATCGAACTAATAAGGTATCTTAGTTTCAAAAGCAAAAGAAGACAAAGATCAAAGCAAAGAGGAACTCCAAATAATGTGGCAATTTCCAGACATTATTTACGAGAAGCCACACTTGTTGATTTGCAACATGTGAGTAGAGTTCCACAGTACGTAGCCGAATGCTGCGGAAGCCTAGCTATTCTTATCCGAGCATACGAAACGGGGGGAGAAATGAAGAAGGAGACCAGCCTCAGAGTAAGGTTACTTTGGAGGTTGTATTAATGAGAGAGGAAGATACCCTAGAGAAGTAGTAGGTAGTGTAGCAGTCTGGAACTGAAACAAGTGAGTGGCCATTGAACGTGATTTCTACCGGATATTCCATCATAAGGATTCCGATGGGTTTATTCTGATACAAGGGTAGGCCTTTCAGGATGGAAATGATGCAAGGAGTCAATAGGAAGAGAAGACTCTCCAAATATTGGCCGTCTTGCGAGCAAGATGTTGGACCTCCACCGTCTTCGTTGCTGAATTAGACTTTTAGCCTCTGATGAGATCGGCCACCCGTTAAGTAAGGCAATGGAGGGCACACCGTACCGCTCACTTCCATGCTATCGCTACATTCTGACAGATATATTAGTCAGTTGATGGAGGTGTCCAAATGGCGTGGGCCACGGCGAGCTCGAGATGAGATCTAACTTCTAAGAAAGGGCCTTGATCTCAATTCGGCTAGGTCCATATCAGTCACACGACGGCATCTTAAGGCAGACTAAAACATCGTTTGTGTCGATTTACCTAGATGCTCTCGGACCACAGGGTCCTAAGTTGGAGCAGGTGGGTAATGTATTGAAGTCTTTTTGTAGGGCAGGGGTGCAGGAGGCAGCCGTACCCTGTTCTGGAATATGCACCGAACGAATAGTAAGCCTAAAATTAGAGGACATGGGGCTATTCTTTTTTTTTCACGATCGATCCACCGCAGAGAGAAGAGAAGATAGAAAGAGGGAGCGGGATGGAGGGATCGAGTGTGGGAGGCAGCCGGGCGAATCCAAGATGGGCAAAAGAGTGACACATGAAAATTTGAATACAGTGGATATTATTGGATTGGCGAAGCTGGGGGAGGAGTGGCCCCTGAAGGCGGTCAGGCTACAGTGGGTTTCTTGGAGAAGAGGTGCTGGAGAAGTCTGGAGTCTGGAGCTTACAGTGGACTGTTGGTGGGCTTTCAGTGGGTTGTAGGGCAGTTTAGATCTGGCTTTTCCCTGATGGGCGTAGTGAGAAGAAGTTTGCGCCGAATCGAAGACGATCAAGATGCATCAATCAATCGACCAACATTATCGATCTCTGCGCGAACGGTTCACCATCGCGAGCAACTGATCGCGGATGACGCCAGTCCAGTGGCAATGAGCGCAAGAGTCGATGGTGAGCCTGGGCCGGGCAGGGTAATAAATAAAAGGCCCGTTGGCTCTCGGCTGACGCTTGGCTCTGGCTGTGGGCGACGCTTGGGGCAGCGGCTGGGCAAAAGGACTCCCTGGTAGCAGAAGGATTCCCTCTGGATGGCGTTACAGGCTCACGCATGACTGGCTCAGCGGTGGATGGTGAGAGAACGCCATCAAAGCACACAATGATCCTTCTGCCACTCCATGTCTCACTCCCCCAAGCAGCAGCAGCATCAACACGGGCGTCGCCCTCGCCGTCACCCAAACAGGAGAGGAGAAGAAAGGAACTTGTGCTTCTGCATTTCGTGCGATGCCAAGCTCTGACGCCAACTCCACTGAATAAAGAACCTTCTAAATGCGGCCAGCCGGCTCTGATCGCCCACAGTAGCGTCGCCACGGCTCTCGCAGATGCCTGAATCAACCCTTTGTTTAAGACTCGTCGGCTTCTGGCGTCACTGCCGCCTGCGATTGCGCGAGAGGCCCTGCCCCTGCCCCCAATCTTAATTGGTGGTGCCTGCAACGCTCGACGTGCCATCGCATGCCTAGTCTCGATGGAAGCGTACCACCCAAGGCCTCACATGCCCGCGTGCGACGCCTGCTGCGACGTAGCATAATTTTCCCGAGAGATGCTTAAAAGGCCTGCTGCGACGATCGTCCGCCCGAGGGGAAGATGATGTGGCAGTGTTGTCTTACCTTCTTTCTCTCCCCTCCCCCGAGTCAAGCTCACCCAGCGGAGTGACACTATCCGTTCGCTGTCTAATATCTAATTCTTGGATTGTGGAAAGACGACTACCATCTGGTAGTACCAGGAAAAAGACATCATGGCCACCGACGCCAAGTTCACCGACCAGAATGCCCCGGTCACCAACACCAAGACCCGCGCCAGCTCTGACGAGGAGCATGTGCGTGGCTCCAACGACGAGTCGTCGGTCATCGATGCCCAGACCTACGCCTACTCCGAGGACCGAAAGATTGGTGTCACCGGTGCAGTGTTTCTGATCCTCAACAAGATGATCGGAACTGGAAGTACGTCTCTGTCTATGGCTTCATGTCAATGATCCATGGAAATCAACCTGTCTCGGGCTGTTCCCTCCCGAATACCAACTAACCCTCGCTCAAACAGTCTTCTCCACTCCGTCCAGCGTCTTCGCGGCCACAGGTTCCGTCGGTGTCGCCTTTATCCTCTGGCTCGTCGGTGGAATCCTCACCTTCTGCGGTCTGAGCGTCTTCCTCGAGTTCGGTCTCGCCATCCCCCGCTCCGGCGGTGAGAAGAACTACCTGGAGCGCGTCTACCGCAAGCCAAAGTACCTCGCAACCTGCGTCCTCGCCTCCCAGATGATCCTGCTCGGTTTCTCCTCCGGAAACGCTCTCGCCTTCGGACGGTACATTCTCTACGCCTCTGGCTGGTCCACGGTTGATGGATGGCCGGCTCGTGGTCTCGCCATCGTCTGTGTCACCTTCTCCGTCGTCCTCCACGCCACCCTTCCCAAGTGGGGTGTTCGTCTCTTCAACGTGCTTGGTGTCTTCAAGGTCGGCGTCGTGCTCTTCATCATCTTCGCCGGTTTCGCCGCTCTCGCCGGCCGCCGACTGGTCCCAGACCCCCACAACTTCGACAACTCCTTCGCCATCGAGGTCGGAGACGGCTACGGCGGCGGTGGCGTCTACGCCTACTCCAACGCCCTGCTCAACATCATCTACAGTTACAAGGGATGGGAGAACGCAAACTACGTCGTCTCCGAGCTCAAGAACCCGCGCAAGACCCTCGCCATCGCCGCGCCCCTCGCCATCGGCGGCGTCACCATCCTCTACCTCCTCGCCAATGTTGCCTACTTCGCCGCCATCCCCAAGTCCGACCTGGCCAAGTCCGAGGTTCTCGTTGCCGCCCTCTTCTTCAAGAATGTGTTTGGTGACAGCGCCGCCGCTCGTAGCTTGCCCGTCTTTGTCTGCCTGAGTAACTTGGGCAATGTGTTGGCTGTCAGCTTTGCGCATGCTCGTCTGAACCAGGAGCTTGCCAAGGAGGGTATGCTGCCTTGGAGCCGATTCTGGGCTTCCAACAAGCCCTTCAACGCCCCTGCTGCGTCTGTAAGTTCGAATCCAAACAGAGTTTTGTGTTGATGATAGGGGATAACTAACACTCTGTAGCTCTTTATCCACTGGCTGATTACCGTCATTATCCTGGTTGCTCCTCCTGCTGGCCCAGCTTACAGCTTCATCGTCAACCTGTATGTCAACAGTATCATTCGTGTGATAAATTGCGTTGCTGACATTAAACTAATAGGTACACCTACCCCGGTGCCTGGATCAACGCCTTTGTGGGCGCCGGTCTCGTCTACCTCCAGTGGAACAAGGCGGAGAACTGGACTTCTCCATGGCACACCTACCTCCCCATCTCGATCCTCTGGTTCCTCTCCAACGTCTTCCTCGTGATTGTTCCCTTCATCCCCCCTGTCGGCGACTGGAACGCAGACGGTTACCCGTAAGAGATCTTATCCTCCCTTTTCCCTTTAAACAATCCTGCTAACAGTGGTAAAACAGATACTACATCTTCCCCGTCGTCGGTGTCTTGGTTCTCGTCCTCGGTGGCATCTACTGGGTCTTCTGGACCATCATCCTCCCCCGCATCGGTGGCTACCAGGTTGTTGCTGAGCGCACGTTCGACGAGGATGGCGTCGAAGTTGTCAGGTACCGCAAGGTCAAGCTGGCCTAAGTCGGGAGCCAGGACGTCTGTTGAAGCGACATGGATAACCCGTATGCCGTAATTAGTTGGTCGTCATGGCCTTTCACTTCCCAAGATACCAGACTTTGCATCTAGTCAACCTTAGCTTAGCCTCGTTTTCTTTAATAATAGAGTATTTGCCCTCCAGTGGCTGTGATATTTGAACACGGTTCCATCAGTTCGTAGCCTGGTTCTTGGAAAAGACGTGTACTAAGATGAATTTTGCAAGTTCTAAGGATAAACCCAGATTGATATTAAGACCTAATCCTTAAGAATACAGTAAGGATCTTGGATTTTTCCTTAACTAGCCCCGTAGATTGCAGGCATCTGACAAGGATCTAGACCTTCAACCCTGCTTTAGGATATGCTCAACCGCTTCATCCACCCCATGAACCACAACAGTAGGCCGGATATCCAACGCCTCGCTCAACCCGTCAATCCACCCCGTCTCACCCCGATCAACCCACACACTCGACATGCCCGCCGCCACAGCACCGAGAGCATCAAACGGGTTCGAGCTCACCAGCCACACCTTCTCCGGCGCATCCTGCCGGCCGACCGTCGCCACCATGTGCTGATACGTCTTAGGGCTCGGCTTGTAAACACCGAGAGGGTCGATGCTCACGATCCGCGCTGCGCTCACCGTGTCAGGGGAGGACGCACTAGCTAAACCACGCGACGTCTCAACCGACGACGTGATCATAGATTCGGTGCCGTTTGAGAAGATCCACGCTTCCAGTGTCTGTGATTTGGAGATGAGTTCCATGGCGGCCTGGACGTCGGGGAATGCATCGAGGCCATTGTAGGCTTTCATGATGGCCTGCTCCTGCGCCGGGGTGATCTGGACACCGGCCTCGGCAGCGGCGTGGTGGAAAGAGGAGCGGGTAAGCACGTCGAATGGGTGGTAAATGCCTGTGAAGCTGTCAGACTCTACGATTCGTTGACATATTCCTGAGCCTACGTACCCATGCTGTTGCTGCGCCAGGTGTACTCGAGTTGGTATCGCCTGGCCTGGGCGGCGATCACTTTGGCCTTTTCGGGGCCATAGAAGCCCTCCAGTTCTCGGGAGATGGACTCGGTGGACAGAATGGTCCCGTAGAGATCGAATGCTATGATTGTCTTGGCCATGCTGGGTGATGATTGGGAGGTAGCGTTGAGTTCCTTTCAATAGCTTGTCTTCTAGGCTAAATGGCAGATATCCTAGCCCGGCCAAGAGGATTCCTACTACGATATATACGCCGTGATAGTTCCGGATACCCCGCGCGCTCTCCATTCTAAACGGCGATCAGCGCTAGAGCGCTTATAAGCATAGCCGGGGCTGAAGAGAAACAACCGAAGAGCTGGAGGCCATTACGTTGATTTAGGGAAACACCACCAGCGATACACATGATCTTGATCTATCATCACCCATAGATGTCAGCCGGGTTTGTTGTCCACAGTCATTCCTGGCTCGCGTATCACGGCGAATGGGATTTTTCTCTAGGCAATAAAATGTCTTCAACGCATAATGCGTCAGATACCCTTTCCCCTATCAGCTACAAGTTCGCTACAAAGGAACTTGACTCGTTTGACCGGTTGATTGGTCTGCTATCATAATGTATTTCCACGAGGTCTTGGCAAGACCCCAGAGCTCTTTGCTGGGCGGAACCTGACCTACGGGGGAGGATAAGCGATGGAAAGAACAGTCGCATTTCATATTTGACAGAAATCTCTCGTGGCGGACTTTGATTGGGCACCCATATGCAGGCAACTCGTGATCTCACCGAGTGTGGCAGTGGGCGGGTGCTTGAAGGCTGAGCCTGATTGTCCACGCATCCGATTCCTTCTCCTTCTACATTTTTTCTCAGCTGAGCAAGCATATCTCCAAAAAAATCGCAAGAAAGAAGACGAAGGTATCAATTGTCCAATGGACCCAGCAGCCGGCAGCGGCAGCCGGTCAGAGTTCTGGCAACTGGCTTGGGCGAAATTGCCGCCCGCCACAGTTCAGAGCCTGCAGGCTTTGTCAAAAGACCATAATGCGCCCGCTTCCTCCAATCAAGACGTCGACCATATTTTAAAATTAGCCAGGGAAAAGAAAGCGACTTTCGAAAGTAAACAATGGGAAGTCGAATTGGGTTCACGGAGTTTTAAAATACGAAATGGTCTCTCCAATATCATCGATTGGCTTCAAAAGTTCAAAGAAGTCGGCGACATCGCCGTCAATTTTGACCCTGTTCATGCGGCGCTTCCTTGGGCCGCTTTTCGGTTTCTCTTGCAGGTATGTGTTACATTTGCTGTTGAGTTTGGGACCAGGAAAAAACCCTTTTGGATCTCTGAACCTGGCTAACGGACGCACTAGGCAGCCACTACGGATCGGGATTCCATTGAGGGCATTATCACTGTTCTAGAGCTCGTTAGCCGCATTATCCAGCATGGGAGAGTATTCGAAAAGGTACACATCTTGGCCTCCGAGAATGCTCACGACGAGCAGCACGTCCTAGACGGGTTAAAGGAAACCGTGGTTGACCTATACGTAGCCGTTCTGGAGAGTCTGGATTACTGTTGTACTCGGCTCGACCAAAGTACTGGACGCCGCTTCTTGAGCGCATTTCCGAAACCCCAAGAGGCTGAGAAGATCAAAGAGCAGTTAGTGAAACGCTGGAATGTTGTCGAAGACAACGCACGATCCCTGAGAGGCCTTTGCCATATTAAAATATTTGCCGAAATCAAAGGTCATCTTCCTGACGTTTTACGAGCCCTGAGAGACCTCAAAGATGTCTCCAAGATTCTGGTTAAGATTGAAGAGAAGGACCGCTATGAAATACTTGACAATATTTCAAAGATCAAAGTCGGAAGTCAGCACAAATCAGTACATGATCGCAGGACTAAAGCCACTGGGAAATGGCTCCTTGTGACTCCGGAATTTCGACTGTGGGAGACAGACGAACGCTGTCCCATTACTCTGCTATATGGCTCACGTATGACTTGATGACCCCCTATGAAATCAGTTTGACCCTTGACTAACAGTTGCAGCGGGAGCCGGAAAGACTTTTTTGATATCTCGAGTCATTGACCACATCAAGGAACGGCTTAAGGATAATGAACCGAACTGTGGACTGGCATATTTTTATTGCGACCGCAACGACATCGACCGACGGCAACCAAATAGCATTTTAAGCAGTCTTGTTTGCCAGCTGGCTTCGCCTATTGGGAGAGGCGGCGAAGTCCATCAGTATATCCAGGAGCTCGACAAGAAACTTCGATCCGAGCGTCTGGAAATGGACCTACAACTATGCCAGTTTGCTTTAGCAGAGCTTGCCTCATCTTATCAATCGTCTTCAATCGTACTTGATGCACTGGATGAATGTGACGAGGAGACCAGAAACCAACTGATGTGCTGTATGGAAGAGATTGTCTCGCGGTGCCCAAATCTGAAAATCTTTATCTCTAGCCGAACGGAATACGATATTAAGAAATATTTCAGCTCCAAGCCAACCATCACGATCCAGGCGACGGACAATCAGAACGATATCAGGTCATTTATCAGAGAAAAACTTACGAGCGATGCCCGTTGGAACAGCCTAGATCAAGAACTTCGGGAGGAAACTCAATCTACACTCCTTGCAAAGAGCGGCGGCATGTTCCAGTGGGCTAACCTACAGGTTCAAGAGCTTCTAAGAATAAAGCACCTGAGTAACAGGGCGATAAGAGAATGTCTTTGGACTTTGCCTTCCACCCTCGATGAGACGTACGAGAAAATCTGGAAGAAGATAAATACACAGAGCCCAATCGACCGGAAAATTGCCAGGCGTGCTATCAAGTGGGCTCTCAGTATGTACTGGGACGTCAGCACCGCGCAACTTGTATTTCCAGATGCCCTGAGGGTCGACGACGAAACAGAGAGCCTCTACGACATTGACGAGACGCCGTCTATCCAAGCTATCGAAGGAGCTTGCTACAATCTCTTAATTCATAACCCAGAACGAAAGAGATGGCACTTTTGTCATCTATCCGCAGCAGAGTACATGGAGTCAACAGTTATGTCTGGGCTCCAGCCACAACGTGATGCCGCGATGGCATGCCTTAAACAGCTTCTTCATGCAGCAGATTCGGAATCCCCACCTGTATTTTTTTACCCTAGGGAGGATTTCCGAGCATATGCTCGTCAAAATTGGCATTACCACGTGAGAAATTATCATGATAGCTCAGCTACGAAGCACCCACCGCTAGAGCACCTCATTGAGCGGTTCTTGGGTTCAGCAACTCAAAGCTCAAAGATGTATCATATTTGGGCGGATGAATGGGCGGACAAGTTTTCGAAACGTAATTTGCAGCCATCATCGTCGCCTCTTTTCGGGATCGCCCAATTTGGCTTACTCAGCGTGTTGAAGGAATGGTACGACCATGACTCAACCATTGATCTCAACGTACAAAATGAAGAAGGTCTTTCTCTGCTTGGCTTGGCTGCAAGAGACCTCAATTTTGATATTTGCCAATTCCTGGTCGCAAAAGGGGTGAACATCGATGCAGGAACATCAAGCCCACTTGCTACCGTTTGTAGTAAGGTGATCCAGCGTACACGTACATCTCCAGGTTGGCTGATTGAGTTCAAAGACATGGATGAAAAAGTGAAAAAAATCGCAACCCTTCTTATCGATAAAGGAGCGGACGTTAATGCCCGAGACACAAGGGGATGGACGCCATTGAACATAGCCTTGGAGAGAGGGAATAAAGATCTGGTCACTTTGTTACTCGAGCACAATGCAGAAGTCGGAAATGCCTCGCATGACGTGTACAATGCCACAGCGATGCTTGATCCGGATTTGGTTCGTTTTTGTCTCAATTCGGGTGCGGCAATCAATGAACACGAGATATGGTCAGAGGTCATGGTCTGGGTCATACAGGATGAAACGGAAGCAATTGAGATGCTTCTAAAGGCTGGTATGGACGTCAACTATACCCCGCGCAACGAGCGGGATTCACTTTTAAATATAGCGGCTTCATGTGGACACTTTGACCTGTTGTCATTATTGATCAAGGCCGGTGCAAACCCAAATCCTAAAGGGGTTAAGCAAGGGCCAATATACCAAGCTGCAGCCTCAAAGTACCCGGGAGGAACTAAATGCATCAAAAAGCTCTTTTCTCATGGTGCCGCTCTTAACCCACGCGAAGGTATTTCTCCCCTGGTTGGTGCTTGTGATGGTGAAAATGCTCTACACAGGAGCAAGCTCCTCCTTGATTTAGGGGCAGATCCCAACCACATCCGTCATTCGGAATCTCCTCTCCTCTGGGCAGCAAGACTTGAAAACAAGGCTTTGTTTCAGCTTTTTCTCAAAGCAGGTGCAGATCCTAACAGCAAAAACGGCTTGGAAAACGCTCTTGTCCTTGCATCGAGATCTATTCAACAGTTTCACTCACGTGGACCCTTCCCCGAAGGACCCGGCGGGGATATTGCTCAGCGGCAGCTCAGGGACCCATTTATGACCTTCCTCAAGGAGCTCACCCTCGTCAAGGAGCCCGACACTGCTGTTGCTCGGCGGTGGCTCTTGGATGCTGGGGCAGACCCAACTCTCACCTTCGTCCAGGGGCCCGGGAGTGCTCTCGCGTTCGCAGCCTTCACCGGTAATGTTGAAGCTTGTTCATTCTTACTAGACCAAGAACTTGGGGTCGACGTCAACGCAAAGCTGCATGGCTGGTTCGGTAATGTTTTACATGCTGCTATGACACCAACATATACGTTCACAGACTCGTGGAATTGGAAAAGTGAGAGACAGACCTCAAAAATCATCTCACTTTTATTTGAAGCTGGAGCCGACATCCTCCCCATGTATAAAACACTACCACCTTCTCTTCCTGCAATCAATATTCGGGGTCGGGAGTATTTCATAAGCAGCGCTAAAGCCGTATTTGATTTTTCCAAACATTGGCTAAGCATCATCTGGGATATAGGTTCTTCACCTAAGCCTCATCTACCCCTCTCCATGGTGCTGCGACGTTATAAACTTCCATATTCTATCCCGCCCTCGGCCAGCATACTCATCAAACTCACACCAATCTCAACGCCTCCACATATGGAATACTCTGGTATCTTCGTATTCTCCAATGAAACTGCATGCTTTATATTTGACAACAACAACTCGAAATTTAAGCATAGTGAGGGAACTCAGACAACCGCCCATGTTGCTACATTTGAACGCACTGGAAAGAGTTGCGAGAGTAATTTCCCTCTCACATCTTCCATCAATCCCCTACTCAATCACATTTTTGGACTGGCCGTATTCATCGGGTTTGTCTTATACCTCAAGTATGCATTTCTGCGTTCCGAGTGAACATCAACGTAGAGTGTTACTGTGCCCCTTCCCTCGATTGGCGGAACAGAGTCAACCGAGTACCATTGGGTTTGAGACCCTCAAATATGATGCTGCTTATTTGCGAGGGTATTACTAGTAATGTCAAGTTACTGGGGGTTAAGAACAGCTCAAGAGACAAGATCTTAATGGTTGTTGGCATCCATATTTTATACTCCCTATTCTAATAATCGTAGAAAGCGGTCTAGTCATAACGTCTGCGTCGATCTGATACCTCCTATCTGCTAACTAAGAGTCTAAGAATATTTTAAGGGCACGAGACTGAGTATTTCGCTCACCCAATGAGATCCTGCGTGTCTGAACTCTAGCACGGTGCATCGAGACCATGTGATTATGTCTCTAATAATATACAAACAAAGGACGAGGCCCATAGTTGTGGTGTGTGATGAATCGCATTTTCGGTTAACGGCGTGGCAATCTCCTGCTGAGTTTCAACTAAAGTTTGGAGCTTCAAAACGGTAGATATATCAGGAAACCTTCGATTTACAAAAATCTGAGATGGTAGTTGCAACTTGGATGTCTCAAAAACATCTGGCGACAACACTGAAAACGTCGTCTGTAGAGTTTAGAAAGTTCCCCTTACAGGGCCAGACAATGAATGAATTGCACTTGCTATCATGAGAAAAAGTGAATGTCAATCTCGCCAACACAGTAGGATAGGAATACTCAGGGGATTCACTATCAAGGTGTGGAGCTGGAAGCGTGGGATCGGTCGTGTGATACGATACAACGAATCCGACATGTCAAACCACGATCGTGGCGTGAGTCTATATTACTCGATCCTTGTAGAGATCCCCTTACCATGCTCCGTCCCCTGCGCGACCCCTTCAATCTATTACGTCTTCAAAATTGGTCAAAATCGGGCGGCTCCAGTGTGCTCCCGGCATACATACATTCACCAGCATCACGAACCAGGCATGCGTCGATTGTCTATATTTATACAATGCAAGATTTGATGTACATATGTTGTTCACCCTGGCGGGTTATATCATGTAGCGCAGACAAAAACATTCCGCCCATATGTCAAGTAATATCTAACGGCGATGACATCGCCTCCCCCGCCATCATCGCGTGCGTCTCGGTGAACACGGACCATCCACACAAGGGTACATCATCCACCCCCACAAACCGAAAGGATCGAGGTTCGTTCGTTCGGCTGTTTTCGAAATTCTTCCTTCCCTTTATGTCGTCGTAGTCGGGAAATCGTATATACACACGTGTCGACAGCACCATAGCGAAGGATGCCGCCGATATGTACGTGTTCGTCTCATCAAATCAATGCGCACGGGTATCTCTCAATCCACCTCCTCAATAATCAAAAAGGACAATTCAATATATCCAAGCGCGAAAGTCACGGCATCATGACACAACAGGACACACAGGTCAACGCAACACATGACATCGTTCTTCTTCGGTTTAGTCCTCGTGGGTTGGGGGACCGGCATAGTTGCGGTATCCCCACATCCAGTACCAACCACCAGAGATGAGCATCGCAGCCACGAACACGACAGAGGCATAGTTCACAGTCTCAACAGTCGCAGGCACCACGGTAGGCATACAGAAGAGCGGCAGGGCCAGGCAAGACCAGGCTATACAAGTAAGCATCATGTCCTGTCACGGCACGCAGGGAAGCAGAGCAGGGAGAATTTTCATCACCGTCTTCTTACCCAAGACGGGGTGGGGAGAAGACAAAGCACTTTCAAAACAGCACTGGAGACGAGTGAGACGGGACTTACCGAGAGCGACAACATTGCAAACGAGACCGACGGGGCCGAGGTAGAACTGGCCCTCGCGGATCTGCTTGCGGCCAGTGGCAAGACTGATGGCAATTGGGGCGGCGTATGAGGCAGTCAAGCACATGACACCAACACCAGAGAAGGCGTTGAAGGCGGCAGTGGAGCCGAAGTAGATGAGGCCGAGGAGAAGCTGGACGACCATGCTGAGCATCATGGCGTTCAGAGGCACGTCGAGCTTGTCGTTAACCACCATCCACCACTTGGCGCCGGGAATTGCACCATCACGAGCAAAGGCCCAGGTGCAGCGGGAGGCGGCGGTTGTGCAAGCGACACCACAAAGGACGGCAAGGACGATAAGAGGGGTCAGAAGACCGATGGCACCGCCGCTGGAGCCGGTGGCCACCTTGAAGATGTAGGGCACGGGCTGGGCGAGGCTGATGAGCTCGACGATCTCGGGCATGACGAAGACAATGGGGATGAGGAAGAGGAGACCGCAGGCCGTGTTCATGAACAGGGTGGCGACCATGGCACGGGGCACCTGGATAGAAGGACGCTGGACCTCTTCGCACATGCTGTTGGGTATCAGTTAGCCACCTGCATCACGAGACGAAGCTCAATTAGTGTGGACAACGTACGAAATGATCATGCCAGTGGCCGAGGTGGCGTAGCCGGCGTGGAGCAGACCGACACAGAAAGACCATCCATCGGGCCAGCCAGAGTTGTTCTCGAAGTGAGTGAAGACCCATTTGGCATCACGGCGGCCGCCTTTGGCCATAACGAGGATGGTGACAATCATAGCAAGAACACCAATCAGAGTCCAGAAGATGGCGGCAGTCTAGACACGTTCCAGTTAGTAGATGTGATTTCGCAAGCCTCCTCTGCACAGGTCGACTAACGCGCCAAACAGCGCAATCGATCGGTCGCGCAAGAAAAGACAAGGCAGAGGTTTGGAGGCATCGATTAGTTACTCACGTCAAGCAGAGGCAGCCACTTGTTACCAAGAGAGGAAATGGCATTGCACAGCAAGGTAATACCAAGGAAGATCAGGTAAACCTGGTAGGGCTCGCCAGCAAGAATACCGACACCAGGCTCGGACTCGAAGACATTGATGCACCCAACAAGGAAGAGGGTGGTGCCGAAGTTGACGGACAAGGTAATGGTGATGTTGCCGACAACGTAGAGCCAACCGCAAATCCAACTAGCGACACGGCGCCATTTGCTAGGAGCCAACATAAACGCCTGGTAGTACACACCTAAATTCCAGAGGAAAAACCTAAATTAACATCCGCAATCTTGCGAGGGCGCATTGAACCTGTCGCGATTTAGGGGGGAATTTACCTCCAGCAGTAGGGTAGACACTTGTGATTTCACCGAGGGACGCAGCGACGCAGATGACGCAGATACAGACAGCCAGCCATCCCCAGATGATAGCGACAGGCCCGCCGCCAACTAGAGGGTAGTACAGAGTGGTGGCCAGACCGTAGGGGACGGAGGCGAGGACGAAGGACATGAAGGCGACCTGGAGGGTGGATCGGTTGCGGCTCAACTCGGGCTTGTAGCCCAGGTTGGCCAGGGCATCGTCGGCATTGTTGTCGACGACTCCTGGCAGCTGGTCGAACTTGGTGTCGGGTTTGGATGAGCTCGACATGGTGAGCAGCTGGTATCGCGGGGACGAGGTGATTGCGTCCAAAATCGGGAGGGCGCGAGGTCGTCGACCGGGCGCGCCAACGAACGTTTGGCGACGGCGTTAGTTGAAGGACTGGAGGGCCACCTAATTAAGGTTGCTGCGATGCGGAGGGGGTGAATCGCGGAGGTGGAGAGGATACTAGGTAGACGGGAGGGAAGGGGAAGAAAAAAGAAAAGAGAAAAGAGAGGAGGGATCGGATGGGTAATAAAAAGGAAGGATCAGATGGGTGAAGCTTGCCAGGCGACGAAGCTGGGATTGGATGCGCACGACCAGGTGTTTATAGCTACCACTGATAAGAGGAATTTTGCCCCTGTGGGGTCGCTCGCACACAGCAAATTGACTTGAGGCTTTATCCTCCGGCCAGCTGTAGCGTCCTGAACTCCATTTCACATGGTGCGACAATGTGAAGATGGCGAGAATGGGGTGGATTTGCGGTGGATTTTTTTAATGAATGCCGATTTCCATTACGAACCCGCCCAATCAAACCGACAGCGTGGGCGGCGATGGTCTGGAGGCGGGAGGCAGAGGGGTGGCAGCAGTCGGATACCACGAGCGCTACATTGGAGGTACTTGAGTGCAGGGGGGCAGCCCTAGCAGTCTTTTCCAGGCAGTGACGCGCTGTGGCACTCTCTGTGGCTCGCTGACTCTGGCGCTGAGTTTGGGTGTCGGGGGTCCAATGACTAGCGCGCGATGCGAGCACTGGCTTGGACTGATCTGATGGAGGGTCGTCCTGCAGCCGTCGACGTCAGTGCTTGGGGCTGCTGGAGCCTCCCACTGGCGGTGCCCTGGGCAGTTGGTGGTGCGCTGTGGCGGGCAGCCCGAGAGTTGGCCGCTAGTCCGGATGCAGCGCCCCAGGCCGTTGCCAAGCTGGCCTAACACTCAATGGAACAGCCCCTACGCGAGGCCCTTCGCCCACCTTAGGCAATAGCCCGCAAGCGCAAGACTCCAGATGTACTCCCGCGGTAGCGCCAGTGCCCCAGCCCGAACCCACCGTAGAACACCTCCCGAATGTTCGAAACAGCTGGGCGATCGCTCGACAAGACGGCGTCGCTGTCCTGCATGCGATGCGATGCAGTGCGCCGTCATGCTGCATGTCCCCATTTCCTGGCTGGAGCGGCCCCCGACGCCCTGGACTGCGCAGCCCCGTCTTGCCCTCCGTCGCACAGTCGCTTCCCCTCGCGCTCCTCTGCTATCTACAACCTACCAGGTCAGATGTCATATCTCTGGATGTTCTGGGCCCCCCTGAATTCTCGGCTGGGGAACGAGGCCTAGACTGCTAGTTCTGCAGCATCTCCCGTGCGATTGATTCCACCGTCAGCTGCGATACACATCCACCTGCAACCGCATTTTAGCTGCCTCGGCCCTCCTACGAGCTGCCGGCAGTCATCGGCCATTGGCTGCTTCAGCATACGGCCGACGATAAGCCCGGGGCACTTCTGCTGACATACAGTAGTGTTTATTACACTCAGTTACCTGGCTATTTTCTTCCATCGCCAAGTCCTCTTCAATACGGTGCAGAAGTACGTCCCACCTTCGTCTCCAGTTTTATGCTTGGGACCAGGGGAACCCTTCCGAGCAGCACCATGATGATGACTATTTCCCATCTGGACAGGGTAATTTGAATGTGACATTCTGGTAATACGCCGCAAAAATTCATAGCCGTCGTTGATTGGGCCAAGCCAATAATGACACAGAACCAACAAAGGCCTTCTTACCATCCCTTTGAGCAAGACGTCGCGTGATACCAGACATCAACTCTTCACGGTCGCATTTCCCATAGAACAGCCTTTTCATATGCATGTCTATCTATGTCTATCGATTTATGTTTTCTCGCGGTGCACCATCCCGTTCCTGGTGTCGATAAATCTACTGTTTGTCGCTGTGTGGATAACGCCGGTCTAACCAAACATCCAACCAACAAGCCTGCCGCTCCACCATGCAGCTGCATCAAGAAACGCCCCGTATGAGCAAAAATCACCCCAACACTCCATCCGTCGTAAAAAGTCCATCTTTCCAAAACGCTGTCCTTCGTCCCCGGCCGCCAAGGGGTTCAGTCAATCAATGGCGGCCTTTCTCCACCCCACATCGCCTGTTTTCCTTCCTTGATATATCCTCGATCGTATGTGATAGCGCCTTGCATGACAAGCGAGTATGAAACGAGGCGAGCCAAGAATAGCTGTGTGGAAATAGTCTCAGGGCAGCAGAATCAGCCCCGGCCGCCATTGTAGTCGGCACCGCCATTCTTCCTCAGCTGTTTCACCAGATCATCACGGACTATGTCCCCTCTGTCGCTCGCGTCGACGGTGCCGTGAGGACCCAGCTTCTCGATGACTCCGCCCTTCTCGACACTGACACGGGCTCGGCGCATCACCTTGACCTCTGGGCCAATCCAGACAACCACCACAAACTTGACTCGCTTGCTCTCGGTGTCATTGTTATACTCGATGCGCTGGTAGCCGTAAAGAACCTGGTTGTCCACCAGCTTATCCTTCAGCTCGTCCAACCCATTCTTGCCCTCGGCAAACAGGACTAGTTTGTTGCTTCTTTCGCCAGCGTAAGAGAGAAGGAACCAGCCGTCGGGGTTATCATTGCTCTGAACCGATTCGAGGGCTGTTTGGATTTCTTGATCGCCGAAAATGGGTTCGGAAGGAGGCATAGTCGTCGATGGGGGTGGCCGTTGGGGCCGGTCGTGGGGGAACTGGGCTCGTAGCGCAAACGCACGCGGTCGGCAATAGGTAGGTCGGTCGATAGGTAGCAAGGATAGTCACGCTGGTTGATCAGTGCAGGAACTCAATTGGTGTCCAGCAGGCTCGAATTGGCCGATGTGTTGTTGCTGCTGGTCCTGAACTCTGTGTCCCAATTGAGCAATTTAGGGGATGGGACAGAAGAGGGGTTGATGCTCCAGGAAGCCGCCACGTTTAGCTTGCGACAACCGCCTCACCAGCCTCCTCCTCCACAATTGAGCTACCCTATGGCTCCTTCCGTAACGTGCACCATTACTCTTGCCATCTGAATGCAACCATTTCTTCTTCATCTCCAACCAATTCTTTCAACCATTCTTTGATTGCATCTCCAGATAAGTGCATATGATGCCTGACAGCACTTCGCACAACGATACAGCGAGTCGTATGGATCACTTACGACTTGTTTTATGAACTCCACCATCGACCACACCTCCAGCAGGGTTCGGCCTTGATTCTTGCCTCCACAACACGTCAAACCATGTGCGGCCCTGACCCAGAGGTCGATCTGATCAGGACATGCAGTTCATTGCCCAAGTTGGGTAAAGATCAGCGCCCACCAGTGGCCTCGATATAGCGTCAATCTAAAACATCGTTGGTCCGGGCCGTTCGGTTATTCTGCATGGAATCAGCCCAACCGTACTAGTGTCCAGCCTATGTTTGGCCAGCTGATTGCATCCCGCATCGGCTTCACATTTCCTGTGGCTTTGGCCAGACCAGGTTCCTGGAGATGTCCCTACCAGGTACCTCTGGGGCTGCTTATCACACGACCAGGAAGATGCATACACCCTCCCGCTGTTCGTCTGGGGAAATGAGGAGGGCGGCTAGCTTAACTTCTTTCACGCAACGCCCGCTTGCCTTATCAGCCAGGACGGGGTATGTCATGGACGAGCCTATCTCTGGCGCATAGCTGAGTGCACATCCACCTGATCGGGAGATAGGAGAAGCATCCCGAGTTTCGACCTCCGAGATTCGTCCTTGAGACGGCATTATTGATCCATTTCATATCGCCGCTTGCTCAATAACTTCCTTAACGAGAAACCAGCACTTCCTCATCCCCGTTCCCATCGACTCCTGCTCAACATCATCACTCCACCGCATGGTCGAACCATCGACATTCTCGACCGCGCTATCTACCGGAATGCAATCATCTCCCTCTATCTGGAAAAGATGAACGTACATGGTTAGCTTCAGATGGGAGAATAGCCAGGGTACGTTCCCCAGCTCTCGGACATGCTTAGCCACTGCCTTCTTCCCCTGATCCCGAGCAATGCTCCCGACATACGCCTGTGCCAACTCCTTTCTAGCTTTGACCCCTCCAGCCTCCTCATCCTTATCGTCAAAGGTCTGAGACGGAAACTCCCATAGGCCGGCCAATAGTCCCGTCTGCGGCCGACGACGTATCAGCAGCTTCTGGTCCTTGCGCCTCCAGATGGCGCACACCAGTGTAGCCTCCTCTCTGACAGCCTTCTTGACCACCTTCAGAGGGAACTTGCGTGCGTGACTGACAGTGATCTCGTCCTCTTTTGCACTGAGTTTCGATGCGGCCTCTCTCTCTCGTATTGCTAGTGACTTGCTGGAGGCCGCATCTGGCTTGAATGCGAAAGCAGTCAGCTTCATTTGCGTCTTTGGCTCTTGCTTTGCGACAATCTTGGCCGGGGCCTTTTTCTTCTGCTTCTCCACAGTCTCGCTCTCGTCTTCTTCACCTCCAGCCTCCTCTATGGGTTCACAGAGTGTGCACATGTCCTCGATATCGATAACTGGCGGTGAGTCCTTCCAGACGGGGCTGCTCTTCTCCTTTTTCGCCATAGCCCGCCCCTCCTGATAGGCACGGCATGTGGTTGTGATGGGACACGCAGAGCAGTTGGGCTTCGGCGTACACACGGTACTACCCAGCTCCATCAAGGCCTGGCCCCAACGACCAGGTCTATCGCTCTTGGGCAGTGGCCCTGTCGGGTCGCCATCATCAGCTCGGGCAACGTCTCTGACTAGCGCACCAGCGGCCGCCCAAAGCCCGTCAATAATCGTCTTGTCCGACTTGACGTTTCCCAAAAGGCCCAACTGCCTACTAAGCACTCGAAGGACATTCCCATCCACTAGCGGTTCCGCCCTTCCAAACACGATAGCTGAGATTGCACCGGCGGTATACGGACCTATGCCGGGCACATCAGCCACCAGCGTCGCAACTTGCTCAGGAATCAGCCCTTTCATTTCTGCGTCCCCAACGATCAGCTTTGCAGCCTCGTGAATCCTCGTTGCGCGGCTGTAGTACCCCAGCCCACGCCACGCTGCTACCACGTCTTCCGAAGCGGCAGCTGCCAGGTCGTGGATGGTGGGCCACTTGTCCATCCATCGGTTCCAATAGTCGATGACGACGGCGACTCGTGTCTGCTGAAGCATGATTTCGCTGATCCATACTTCATACGCGCGCCGCTCTAGCATCTGGCGCAGCTCGAGAGGATCGTTGACAGTACTGGGGTCGATCCACGGCTTGCGCCAGGGCATAGAGCGCACAGAGCTGACCTTGTCGAACCATGATAGTAGCGAGTCTTGTGCTTCCTTTGCCTTGCGCGATGTTGCTGCGTCAAGGAGGAGTGGGCGGTGATACATGAGCGGGTGGGTGCGAAGAGGAAGTGTGCAGTAGACATTCTTCTCAACATCGTGATGACCATTTCCATTCTGATTGTTGCTGCTGGTATTGCCAAAGAGCTTTTCATACAGAGCCGCCTTTTGGGCTTTTGATTCTGAGCCGGCTACCTTTCTTCTCTTTGGATTTGGGACATCATCGTCCTTGCCAGGTGAGCTTTCATTGTCGTAGTCGCTCTCTGAGACTGACGCGCGACGACGCGTTGGCTTGGCTGAGCGTGACGTAGTTTTGGGTGCACGCTTTGCAGCTGTTGCAGCACTGGACGTTGGTTTTTTGGCCATGCTTGCAAGAGCGGTTCTTAGAATCATCAACGAGTCATCATCAAGTTCACGCTATGTAGGAATGCCGATCACACAGAGAGGAGGACGGTTGATGAATGTTTGTGCCCCCTTTAACGTGATGTCTCCTTGCTTTTTCCTACAACTTTTAGCGCTTGATTTTAGTGCTTTGCGGCGATCGCCAGGCTGTTTCACCGGTGCAGCCATCGGCCACGCATTAGTAATGGCCTACCCTATATCGATACACTTCTTCCCAGGTGTCTGTCCGCAATTTCTGACAATAATACCCTTTCAAAAGCTATTTCTTGGTATCCAACGATTTAGGGTAAAAAGGATAGACCGAATTTACTCATTTGAGTCTGACTACACCCTGTTGAGTTATTCTTAGAGTCGCTGTTGAAGCTGAATCTGTGTTGCTGTGGGCATAGTCAGGTAGTTAAACTGCACAATGTAATACAGAAGGCTCCATCCATGTTACCATTTCTACGTTTTCCCAGTTAACGCAAGGAGTTTTCAATTATACCTAGAAACATACTAGTCTATATACATTTCGCTCCCGGAGAAGGTGATGGCTTCATATGGGGAGCGTTTGAACCATCTCAACAGTATTGACATGCACCTTCGGGGCAATAGCCATGGCTGCAAGTGTAACTGCAGAGTCCCTTGTAGGCATCGCTCAAGCCAGAAGCAGGGCATCCATCACGCCCACTGTATGCTGGAGGGGTCCCGGGAGTTCCATTGGAGGTGCACTTGCATGGGCCGGTTGGGCAGTACCCATAGGCGCAGGTGAAGCTGCAAAGACCCTTATAGTTCTCCGTCTCGCCGTCAGCATTGGTGCCGCCGTTGCATTCTGCGTTGTCAATATGAGTTAGCCAAAAGCCTGTGCACCGGGAGAAAGTAGAATCTTCTGTGAAATGTGAGACTTACGGCCCGTGCCTGGGTTGCTTGTAGGAGCCGGCGCAGCGGTAGTGCTGCCGCCGTTACCGCCGCCACCTCCAGTTTGCGTGGGAGGGTTAGTTCCAAGAGACGGTTGAGGAGAGCAAGTCGTGACAATGAGACCGTTCGTGAGAGAGTTGAGGCCATCCGGTCCCAAGGGGTCGTCAAAGCCGGCAGGAACAGTTCCAACGTAGGCGTTGAAGTTGTACAGTCCGCAAGGGCAGACGTTGGAAATATCCATCTTGGAGGTATCTTCGAGAACGACCTGGCCGTTTCGCGAGAGGCTGAACTTTTGCTGTCCGACAGCAGCGGGGACTTCGATAAGGTTGGCACCGGCGGGGACCTCCTTGACGACGGTCTGGCCGCCAGAGGTGACGGTGAGTTGTCCAGCCTGGGTGAGCATGGTCACAACGTAGACGACATCATCCATAGTGTCCCAGCCATCTGGACGGCCCATGAAGTAGTTTTCGTTGCCTGGCACGGGGCGGTTCGAGGTAGTGTCGGTAGCGTCGCAGTCAAGGCTCTTGAGGGTGCGTCTGTACCAGTAAATAATCTGGTCCTTGGTGATGTACTTGTTGACGGATGTATCCTTGTTCTTGTATGCAGCAATGTAGGGTTTGGAGAGATCGAGCCAGCCGTTGTGAGGCCTATTGAGATTAGTTCATTCCGAAATATTCTATGACAGATATATACGCACATATCGTTAGTCCATTTGGAGTTACCATCGTCATAGTGAAGCGAGCTCAAGGGACCGATGTAGTGGGACTCGCCATAATCATTCCATGTAACAATCTCAATCATAGAGAATCCCTTCTGCAGGACCTCATTCCAGCGATCAAAAATCAAAGAACCACCAGGGAAAACCCAATTCTTGCTGTAGCTGACCTCCTAAAGTACAAATTAGCAGCGACCCTAGGAAGAACCAATGGGTTTAATGTTTACCGGTCCGTAGTGCGTAAAGAACCAAGGAGAAACGGCTGGAAGGTGTTAACGTGATTCTTCCAAGAATTTGAGAGAGTTAATATTTGCTTACGAGCCATATAAGGTTTGCCGCCCAGCCAGTTCAGGTACTTATTATCTCCGTCGGCAACACTGACTGACTGACCAGCCTTGGGTGCCTTGTTGTATCCATCGCTAGCCCATCCCTGTACGCTTCGATTAGTTGGTTCGTTTTGCGGACTGGATCGAGCAGACCTACCATCCAGTTGAAGGCTCCATCGACAGAACTAGCAGAGCTCTGCTCGGGATGGAAGTTTGGAACGAAGAAGACGTCTGAACCAGCAGCAGACTTGACAGCGTTAACATCAAGGCCGTCTCCCGCAAAAGTGGATGCGAAGATGCGGTTGTCAACCATGAGCTGACCTGGCTGGCTGCCGTACTGAGCGATCATGTGACCCACGGTGGCGGCGTCGTTGCCGGGCTTGAACCAGTTGAAGTCGAAGGAGATGAAGACCTTCATGCCGTTGTTGGCTGCTGACTGATAGGCGTACCCGAGTTGTTGGTCGACATTTGAATCAGTGCCGATGTTGAGAGCGAAAGCATCGATGCCTGCATCTTTGGCGCGGCGCATATCGTCATCGTAGTCTGCGGCGCTGGTACGATCACCAATAATGCCCATCTAGAAATAACGGTCAATTTGGTTAGCTTTATTATTGCAAGTGATACGACATACCATGAAATGGCAAAAAACCAATCGATCAGCGGAGGACGCACGCCTCTGCAATGAGGCGGCATCGTTGTTAACGCTAAGGGCCTGCCCAACTGAGGCGAGAAGCCCCAGAATCACGGCTTTGAACAACATGATTCGAAGATCGTAGACAGGATAGTATAGTTTGAGTGACCTACGATATGACTGCCGGAGCCGCAGTCTGCTTTTGTACCAGAGAAGAGACCAGGCACATGTAGGCCGACGGCTCAGCCAGGATCTGTAAATATAATAGGGCCGACCGACATACGAGCCACGAGCCAAGAATCTGTCCCTTTCCACAAACGTGAAACTCCTCTAATTAAAAGATACTAAATGGGACTCACTCTTGCCTAATTTTGAACTTGGACCCTCATCCCAAGGCCACGGCCGGAGGTTTTGTGAGCGGGTCCTCGTAAACCAGCCCATAGAAACGTCGTCTATCGAGTCGGTAGTTGCCGCCTGCCGAAAATACATTAGACACGATGTTCTATGCTTTATCATCGTCTCATATTATACGGGCCGGTCTCCACAAACCCGCCACTGGGACGGCCGCTTTCATGACTCGATTTAACGGTTTACGAGAGGTCTTGGCGGGTTACCACTACTGATATATGCGCCCTCCCGACACAAACCGGAAGACCAAGAGCGTGCCGGAACAGAGTTAGGAGGCATAAATATGTTTCCGTATTCATTTTCTGAGAATCGATATTAACTAGCATAGCATTGAAACCGCCTGTAGATATGAATAATTGTGGGTTCACACCCACTCAGTTCTAAGTTCGCCGACTATCCTTGAAGTAATATGGAATTACTTTCACCTATATGCCGGCTATTCCGAAGAGACCCATTTATGTATACGACTTTGGTGTTCCCTATTCAATGCATTTTTAAGTTGTAGCTATGGCTATCCCTTCCGCGAAGCTACCATTTGACATTCCACCGTGGCGAAGTTGCCTCATGTTGACCGAAAGCCATGCGCCTATCCGCCTATCCTCGAAGAGAGGACGCCGTATGTAAAACAGAGAAAGAATAGATGATGACAGTACACATAGGTTTATAGAACCAGGGCGAAAGTTATGACAATAGTCACAGGGAGTAGCCCTTGTGATGGAATAATCATCTAGCTTATCCATGATCCTGGCAAATATTCGACTTTCATAAGTCTATGCCTAAGTTACTATGCCTGTTTGAACACCACGTTTAAAACCGGCTCACACATGATAGAGGTATCCCCAATTGGTGGCTTAGAGGGCAATCAAGCCACATTGAGCTTTTTGGTGAAAAACATAGCTCCTTCGAGGCTATTGAATGTGTACGGAGATGTCTTCTCAAATCCCTCAGAGATGTAGAGATTGATCGCCGCTTGCATCTTTCCCAAAGTGTCCAATAATATCTCGTCATAGCCCGCCTCTTCCGCTCGTTTCACGACCTCCCTCACTAGAGTTCTTGAAACCTGTCTGCCCCTTGCTTCGGGATATACAAACAGGCGTTTCATTTCGCAGAGTCGAGCATTAGGTTGGCGTTGTGAGAGGTATTGTTGCTCTAACTGTAACGGCCTCATCGCAACGCAGCCAAGAATCGCTCCAGTATTCGAATCAAGAGCTAGAAGCAGTGCTCCCGATGGCGGTGCATATTTCCCAGGGAGCCCTTGAAACTCGGCGTCAAAGTTTTGGAAGGATATATCTTCGTCAAGCCATGCCGTATAGACTTGGAAGCATTTTCGGACTTCACCAATATCACCGGGTTCCGAGGCCTGCCGAATAGTGACAGAGGCAGGCTGTTTCCTATCTTTCGAGGAGTTCTCCATCGGATAATAACAAAATAAAGAGGCCGGTTACTAAAGGGGAAAGCTGAGGCCACTAGGATAATCATTCAACGAAAGATTGAGTAGAATTTGGATAGAATTTGGTAGTTATAGGTTTGGGATATATAAGTGTTTCCGATACTCAATGAGATGCAACCCTAGGTGGGAAATGTTACTGACGATACACGTTGGATGTCCGATTATCGGAAGAATTCTACAGGCACCGTAGTCTCGGCTTAGCGTAGAGTCGGCTTACTACGGAACTACAGCACTGGTGTACCAGCATAGGCCTAGCTGACCAATTATGGGCTACGGATATCAATGAGTTTGGTCCGTTAAAACCGATCTACGAACCGTGTTTCTAAAAAAGTCTGCCTGGATGACTCTTATTAATGTTATCCCCGAGTTCGAGGCATGGCATTTAATCCCACTATGCAGCAACGCGCGTCCCTGGAGCTCCAACATCAATCACCCGAAAGAACATTCCGGAAATAAGATACCCTTGAGTTCAAGGTAAAGAGACTTTCATTAATGTGTTCATCCAGAAACGATAGAATAGCCGATAAGTTGAACCAAGTTCGTAAGAAACTTCCCCTTCACAAATCAACTATGTTCTAATCGGTCCGTACATATATGGTAGGATCGCCAAATCTTTGTTCGTCTTGCGGGAATTTATACACCGCGTAGCTAGCAACCAATTCCCGAGTGCGGGGAGAGTCTGGATCCGTTGACCAAGGTCTAAATAGTATGATATGGTTAGTGCATCGCCTCGTGGCATAGGGAGAGCAGGGAAGAAACGGGATACTTACGCGACAGAATACCACTTTCCACCGAAGTTTTCGACACTCCATTTGGGAGAAGCCACTCCTTCGGGCTGAACTGTGCACCAAACCATCGCTGCTGGTCTCGCAATGTCGGCTACGATCTGCCTAACCGGGATATTGGGAGCGATCGAGAAGACCAATGCATCACTGTCCACGTATGTGAAGCCGAGTGCCCCAGCGCCTCCCACAACCTCGATCCCGAGATCTCGCAGCACCTGCTTGTCTGCATCTGTGTATTCTGGGTCCTGCGTATAAACCTTCAAAGGACCTTTGCCAACTCGCTTTCCGAACTCCGTTGCCATCGTGAGCGCAGCGGCATGTTGAGTCATGGTCCTACGCACGGGCGTGCCGTCTGATTCGCCATCTTTCTTCTTTACGGTATCATCCCAATTTGAAAATGACCCTAATCCGAAGCAGACTACTTTGTCGATAGTGGTGGCAACAGTGGGCAGTCCCGCGATCGTATCGGTCAGCTCTTTGCAGACTTTGCTCTTCGTCCAATTGCCCCAATTTTCGTCCCAGATTTCCTTGAGAGACGAGTACTCGATGATGTCCTTGCAACGAGGACTTGTTCTACTTTCATACAAACCAAGCGCTCGGGTAATCGCGACCTGATCCTTCTCGGCTAATGGCTCATCATTTTCGGATTCTTTCTCATCCGAGGAGCCGGTGTATTTATTCTTCGTGTGGTTCAAAAGATCCTGATAGGTCTTGAAACTGACAACTGGGTGCCTGATGTCGAGGATCTTGAATTAGCGAGGGAGCTTCGATATTTATGGTTCACAAAGAGATGACTTACCAGGGGCCGTAAATGTAGCCCTTTGTATGGTACGCCGGATGGTCTTTGGTGATTTGAGAATTGACCCCAGTTGGGACTATTACGGAAGACTCAATATCGTTCACTAAGCGGAAACAGAAAGATCTCATGTCAGTGTTCACGCCCGAAGTGAACAAACCTAGGAGAGAGGCCGAGGGGAGGTGAGATGACTTACTGCTCCGAATCTTGACCTCCTCAGGATAGGGATCCTTCGCTAGATCTGCCTCGATATTGTGAAACATCTCCTTCGTCCAGAGACGGGCGCCCGAAGCATACAGATCTTTCACGTACTGGGCCATTTTCATTACCCTAGGGGAGAGGTTGGTGTTGTTGTTGAGGCGGCGGACATTTTCCTCCACCTCGGATTGGGTCGCCTCCATGCTTCCATAGCTACAGTCACTGGCGTCGTCAGCGTCCATTGTTTCAATCGAGCGACGTCTTGATGCCACGCTGATGCCTTTGTTTTGATGGCTGCAAGGTGCATGTTGGCTGAGGGGGACAGACTGAAGTGGAGATGGGGTAAGTTCAGGGTAATGCAATTATGCGATGTTTCAGCTCGGATAAATGCAAGTCTCGGCGAGCCAACGAGCCAACCACAGCTTTTCATCCACCAACCGAATTCTTTCATCTGTTGGTCGGACGCATTTTGCAGGATGAGGTTGCATTCATTGTGTCTCATTTGATTTCCAAATTTCTTTTTCGGTTAGCGAGATTGGATTTTAATGCTGTGTTATCGCCAACGCGTCATCAACATCAATTTGTGTAGTCGACCATTATCCTGCTTTTTTCCTTGACTGGTACCTCTTCGAATTAAATGACATGTTTTCGAGCTACTATACACTAAAATTTCCCAATTTAGGCTCCTATCTATCGCTTTATCCTTCCAGTCATTGCAGGAAGACTCTGCTGGAGACGAAAATGCTACCTAGTTCGATGTCTCAAGCCTTCTGTTACTTATTTGGATGGGCAAACTTGGGGGGAGTTGCTAAGAATTGTAGATATCTAGTGTGTCGCTGATAGGATCCGCGTTAGCTGTACTAGATTCTCTACTTATCCATTCATGAAGCGCCTCGTTGACGATATCCGTTGTCCACCTAGGCCCATCTCCGAAGCACACAAACGTGTCATAGAGCCTGCATTGGATGCCTTCTAGTAGACTGTGATGAAAGGGACCCGTCTCAGAGCCCGAGAGACCATCAGTGCTATCAAAGATGCCGTCGCCGACCATGCTTCTTACGTGCGTTTCTGTTGATAGGCATGATAGCCAAAGAGTCGGGTCCCTCCCTGTCGCCTGGTATTCCTCCAAGACCTGACCACAAACTGCTGTCGCCAAGTCAGATTCTCCCGCTGCAGCATTCTCATGACATATCTCGCCCGTTTGCTTGTACTGTATCCTCGCTTCCACCATAGCCTTGATGAAGGGCGGGCGTATTCCGTCCATGGCTTTTGCGTGGCCGAGGACCCTCTTCCTCATCATGGCCTGATCCGGATGTGGGTAGTCGCATTTACTGTGGCCGTGTTCCATGATGAACCAGAAAAGACGGCCTGCGAACGTGTTTGCTCCGGGCCCGAGATACGGAACGATGTCCTCGGGTGGTAACGAGACCTTGGTGTAATGTAGTGGATCGAGCCACACGCCGTAATCGACCCGCCTCTGTGGGAAGGTTGAAGGTGGGACGTCATATCTCCCCGGATCGCCGGATTCATACATGAAATCCCTGGTCTTAGGATTGATGATAATTTCTTGGCTGCTTTGATAGCCTCTTTTCATATGGGTGAGCCTGGTGATGTCGACATCCACACTGTGAGCGAGGGAGGCGATGGCATCAAGCAGCTCAGGACGCTCATCTCCGTGGGTGGCATTGACGACCTTCTCAATCTTGTCTTTGAGATCGCGGTTGTGGTCTTTCAGTTTCTGGCTTGCGTGAGCCTGCCGCTTCCTGAAGGCAGCCTGCGCTTGTCGTCCACGCTCACGTCGGCGCTGGTCATTGATTGCTGGGTCAGTGGCCCGATGTGGAGTCAAGAATCGGCGATGGGGAACTTACGATCGCATCCTCATCTAAATTGGCACGCTCACTGGATAGGTCGGCAGACATGCTCACTTCCTTCTGTCCCACACGGTGTTTGGCGTCCATCTTAGGTGATAGATGGCAAATGGCCGTGTGGCATGGCGAATGACGAAGGTGAGACGGCAGCTTAGCAAGCAAAGCCGGCTCATTTCCTCTCCGATCACGTAACCGGGGCCAGGATTGAACCGTCGAGGTGGGCCATCTCACCAGCTTTACGTGAAGAGCACGCTAATGAACTCTGATTAGGCTCTGTGATAGCTTCAGATGGACGTGAAAAATCATATAAATAGGCAAGTAGTTGGCATTTCTTCATACTCAATACAAGTCTTAATCTTGTCTTATTCAACCTTCCCCTGTACTTGAATATTCGCCAAAATCCAACATCACCATGGTAAAAATAGCTATTGCGGGAGCATCTGGTGGTAAGTCAACGATGTATTGTTCGACATACCGAAACGAATCTAACAAAATGCCTAGACTTGGCCCGAGAGGTCATTGATGAACTCGCCGAAGCTAACAAACATGAAATTCTTGCCCTCATCCGAAAGGTGATTTTTCCTGCTCTCTTGAATATATTTGACCATATGAATTCCCTAACCCCATTATAGGATCCATCGCAGTTTCCCTCGATATTAGGAGTCAAGTGGGTGCAGACATCATATGAAGATGAGGCGGAGCTCGTCAAACTATTTGAGGGCGTCGAAACAGTCCTCTGCTTTTTTGCCGTGCTCAATGATCCTGGCAATGTAGTCCAGAAGAGGATCATAGATGCGTCAGTAAAAGCAGGAGTCAAACGCTATGCTCCTGCTGAATGGGCAACGTACGTGATAACCGTTCATCGATTTTGGCAGTTACTAATTGAAATAGCGGCACGAAATTGGAGAACCGTATTGATATTATGCCATGGTACGCTGGCAAACTCGAAGTCAGTCGCTATCTAGAGGCCCTCAACAAAGAAAAAAAGGTAATGGACTCTTCAATGCTACCGCATAGCTTGACTAACGCTTGATAGGTTCTCGAGTACACTAGATTCCAAATCGGGCTTTATATGAACTATCTCGGCCATCCGCACAAAGTCTCCAAGTATCTGACGACCATGCCCACAAATATTGATTTTGAAAACGGCCGAGCCCTGCTTGCTGAGGGATCCTTGGACGATCAGCTCACGTTCACCACTGCCCATGATGTCGCTGCTGTGGTCGCTCGCGCTGTTGAGTATAAGGGTGAATGGCCCCCCGTGGGCGGAGTGCAAGGAAGTCGGGTCACAGTGGGAGACCTCATCCGAATTGCAGAGAATGCTCGAGGTAAACACTGCTCTATAAAGACCTCACCCTCAAGCTATTATCTGGCTCAAATCTGCGTAAGATTACTGACATAACTAATAGAGAAACCTTTCACAATCGAATGGGAGAAGATGGAGGACCTTGAGGCGAAAGAACTCAAGTCGGAGAATTATATTCGCCTGCCATTCCCTGGGATTCCCGAGGATCAGCTGGAGGCATTCTCCAAACTGGCAACGGTGTCAGTTTTGCTTGGGGGACACCACGGCCTTTGGGACGTAACGGATGAATGGAACCAACTGCTGCCGGACTACAAATTCACTCAGGTTGCAGACTTCATCAAGGAAATATGGAAGCTCAAATAGATATAGTTACTTTGATGTTGTTTTGGCAGTGTTCCCCGGCAGGGGTTCAGCGTCTTTGCGAGGGACGGCTGGCTTACAGTCCTCCCGCAAGGAGCATTGCATATATCCTGTTTATGTGGGATCAATCACAACTCAAACACATCAGTTTCAATGTGGCAGTATCAGCTCTCCCCGTGCAAATGGCAAATAGTCACGTGCTTCCGATCTATTCGACGGGGAAAGTGTCAATTCTTGACATTTGCTACCCGAATTCTATGTCAGCCGCAGTGTTAACGGTTTCGTTTGCGTCAGAGGCTTCGATCTAACTATCATCCTTCTTAACTAGGCAGTGATAATGAATAGAGAAGAGGGGAGAGAAATCCCCATGCCACATAGGGCCAAAGTTCAACGTGGCTACGTGAGCAGTTACACTAATGATGTGGCACTATCATCTAATTCGCTTCATAGAGCTCCTCTAGGCTTTTCCGTCGGAATGTTTTCTACCCAGTGCTCGGTAACTTTAAACGGCATTCCTTGAATATCTACAGAATGGAAATTCCATCTGGCAAGGAGAGAACAGAAGTCTCTAGGTTTCCTAAATTATCACCGTTGTTGGAATGAGGAGCATATACCATAGGTAGAATGCGAGACGAATTTTATCATTAACTGTGTTGGCCTTGGCTAAATTAAATTGTTGTAGATGGATTTCCAATAAGTGGCTTTTTCAGCCTGTGTGTGTTGACGTGAACGATTATATCTGCAACCAGAAATTGAGGTTTGTTGTGGAATGGAGCAGTTTCAGCTGAACTTGTCACCTGACGCAAGCTTAAGGATAGAAACAAGCTCGCTGAGGCAACTTGTCAGATAGATGAGGCGGGCGGAAGTGGATATTAATTTTCCTGCTCTAGCTTAAGGTTACTTCATCTAACAAGTGCTGAACAAGGAATGGTGGGCTCAGATGACCTACTTACCGTTGGGCTAATCTTGGTTCGCAGATAGTAGACTGGAATGCGAAACCGTCATTCCACCCTAGTTGTCTCCTTCTAGTCCCCACACACTGGGTACGCATCTGTTATGGGAGTCATACATGTTCAGCCGTTTCTTGGCGAAGTTTCTATAAGCTTTCGATGCTAGTTGACCGAGATATAGCGGACGGCACTTTCCGTTAGTAGAGCTTCGATGAACACACTCTCCCCACCATGATTCATTCCAGATAACCTTCCATGAATCTAACACGTTATTACTAGATATTGAATGGCGCAGAGTAGGCGTTGGGCAGTGGAATACGTTAATTCATGGTAGAAGGCCTTTTTACATGTCGTTCTAGTCTCTTAATCGTATGTTAATGAAAAGAAACCAAATATCATCTTCCCTTTTCGTAACACTCGGGTACACCTCTACGTGGACGTTGCAAAGGCTAAACTGACACGGGCGAGGGTAACGAGCCGTTTGGAAATCTGCAAGCACATGGCGCGAAGTTTCGATACGGAGCATCATATCCAGAAGCAGATCCAGTCATAAAATCTTGGCATTTAGCCCAGTTTACTGCCCGATTTCATTGGCTTGCTATGAGATCGACAAGTTTGGGAATGTGGAGGCTTGACAGCTTGGAGAACGCTTCAGTGTCTAAACTCAATCTATGCTACCCGTTACCTTCCGTAACGTTATCTGGGGCCACCTAGTCCATAGATCGATCTAGCACGAAACGCAAATATCCAGCCCATCGAACACTAGATGGAAAAACCACCACATCATTAGAGCTTCTCTCGCATTCCCATCATATTTCAGCCTCATAGTCCGCTACTCAGCGTTGAGGGGTAACTAGATTGTTGCGAGAGTGAGCCGTTGCCATTAAGTACCAGTTTGCATACTTCAACTGAACATTCCAAACAACACCCTTAGTTTCATACAAGCCATAACATCGGAAATGCCACGAAATTGGCGTTTCTGTTAGAGCTTACCGTTTGAATACCCCGTAATCTTATAACTATCACATGAATCTTGATTAGGTTTGTCGTTGTTCTATTACGGACGCCGTTCTAATGATTTCCCAATTCGGTTTCCTCCACGAGAACTCTAACCTTCGATCTGTCGATGCTTCGAGGTTCCAGCTGACCTTTACGCAGGGCTACGATCTAACCCAAAACACGCCAGAGAGCTTGAGAAAGTCACGAAATTTTAATAGGAGGCGCACTAAGAGATACGCTGCAAAATGATAGCATCATGACTTCTGGTCAAGAGTTAGCTCTCCACATTTCCGAGCGTCTTGAACCTCTGATGACTCTATATAAGACGTCTTGAATGGCCAAGCCAGCTGAGATTTCTACAACACATCAGGGCTTCAGCCAGAACATCAATGACCTTCTTGCCCCAATGATCTAGTTGAACAATCATCATGGCACGCTTTACACTTACCTTGGCTTGTTTTGCCACTTTCACTACCGTCCTGTCCCAACAAACCAACCAGTGGTGGGATAGTGATGATCATTATCGTCTTGATGGCAACAATCAGGACTATGCACCAAAGGGGGACGGCTCCTGGTACTGGCCCGATGAGGGCTACTGCCACTATGGAGGCATTCAAGTTGCTGGCGTATGTTTCGACGTTTTTGGCGATGCTCAGAATTGTGCTGGTCCTGGGGATGTATGTGACCCCAACACTTTCTGCTTTCGAGGTTCATGCGTCGCTGTTCAGTCGGTTTCAGTTTTTGCCAACCCTGACGACTGCGGTGGGACGCCCTGCGAACCTGGGAACAGTTGCATCAACGGGGAGTGTCGTCCTACCACTATTGACAATAGTCAGTGTGGCTTTGGCTGCGGCCCTGGAAGTGTCTGCATTGCTGGTACTTGCGTTGATGTCAAGGGTGAACCAGCTAGTTGTGGCCCAGACGCAACAGTATGTCCCAATAACAGTCTCTGCATCCTCGGAACCTGCTTCACTCTCCCTGACAGAGGTCTCTGTCCCGGTGGCTGCGAGGCTGGCACTATCTGTGTTGATGGCATTTGCATCCCCATCGATAACCCTTCTGTCTGCCCAACAGCAGGCTGCCCCCCTGGCACTGTCTGCCTGAACAGCGCCTGCACTGAAATCAACAACCCATCCCAATGTAGCGGTACTGGCCCTCAGTGCCCTCCGGGATTCGTTTGTGTCTCAGGTGTCTGCGTTCCCTGGGCTCAGCCTGCTCTCTGCGGCTGGTACGGTACATCTTGTCCATCAGACACTGTCTGCGTCCTCGGCAACTGCATTCCCATCGAGGATCCCGCCAACTGCGGAACCTCGGGAACTGGATGCGCCGCCAACGAACTCTGCTTGTCTGGATACTGCACGCTGTATCAGAATCTCGAGCGGTGTACTGCCAATACGGACTGTAGTGCTGGTCAGGTCTGCGACGCCGGTGCCTGTGTCACCCTTCAAACCAATTCCTGCCAAAGCAGTGCAGATTGTACCAATGGTCAGACGTGTATCAACGGTGATTGCAGTCTCCAGAATTCCCTCTGCCAGGTCGACGCCGACTGCACTTCAGAGCAGACTTGTGATCGCGTCACCCGCACTTGCATCATAACAAAGTGTCAGTCGAATGCCGACTGCCTCTGGAACGCTGAGTGTAATGCAAACGGTATCTGCGTCGTCCTTCCGACTACTTGCCAGACGAATGCACAGTGTACCGATGCTGAAACTTGCGATACAAGCTCACGGACCTGTGTGGCCAAGCAGTGCCAGACCAGCTTCGACTGTGGCCAGGGATCCAAATGCAACGAAAATGGCATCTGTATTTCCCTTGCATATCTTTGCGTTGGCGATTCCAACTGTCCAGTTGGTGAGACCTGCAACACGGCCGCTCGTTTATGTGTTCGAAAGGCGTGCCAAGGAATCCAAGACTGTCCTCCTGGCTTCAACTGTGGTATCAACAGTGTCTGCGTGAATGCTGCGGCATCTACTGAAGAGTGTCAGTCAGACTCTGACTGTAACAATGGCCAGACTTGCAACCCTACGACGAAGACATGTACTTCGATCCCTTGTTCTACCAACCAAGACTGCCCCAACGCGTTTACGTGCGGCGCCGGGGGTATCTGTATCGTCAGTCCTACCGTGTGCCAGCTTGATACCGACTGCAATGGAAACGAGAGATGCGATCCCGTCAGCCAGGCTTGCGTCCCTAGGAGCTGCATCACGAATGCAGACTGTGCTGCCGGCTCCGAGTGCAATGCACAAGGCAACTGTGTAAGCTCCCCAGGGAACTGTCAGTCCAATATCGACTGTGCAAATGGTGAGACTTGCGAGAACGGAACCTGCACTGCTGGGCCTGTTACCACATGTCAAACGAGCTCTGATTGCCCAACCGGCCAAGTCTGTAACCAAGGCCAGTGTGAGATCGATCCTCCACAACAATGTACCACAGACACACAATGCCCTACAGGCCAGACCTGTGAAGCCGGAACATGCGAATCCACCAACCCTTCGCCATGTACTTCCAGCGCCGACTGTACCAACGGCCAGGTTTGTATCAACAGCCAGTGTACAGCACCCAATACAACTTGCCAAGGCAATGGAGACTGTCCCGCGGGTCAATTCTGCAATCCCGCAACATCTACATGTGCTACTTCCCCCGCGCCATGTGCCGATGATCTTGACTGCGACAATGATTCCTACTGCAATGAGGGAACATGTACAGCTATCCCATTGGCTTGTGCTAGCGACTCAGGCTGTCCCTCTGGGCAGACATGTAACGCGGTCGGTCAATGTGAAATTGATACAACTATCAACTGTACCACCATTACGGACTGCCCTACAGGCCAAACCTGTAATGAAGGAACTTGCCAGGTCTTGACTACTTGCACTGCTGCTTCTGACTGCCCAACAGGAGAGAGTTGTGTTGCTGGAGTTTGTCAGACTGATCCAACAGGCACTTGCATCGTCAACGCGGACTGTCCGGCTGGAGAAACATGTAATGCCGGAACTTGCGAGACAGTTTCGGGCAGCAGCTGTACAGTCAGCTCTGATTGCCCTACCGGTCAGACCTGTATCGCAGGGGCTTGTGAGATCCAAACTCCTTGCACTGTTGCCGCCGATTGCTCAACGGGAGAGAGTTGTGTCTCTGGGGTCTGCCAGGCCGACCCAGCTGAGACTTGTACCGTCAACTCTGACTGTCCTACTGGTCAGACCTGTATCGCTGGAACTTGTCAGGTCTTGACTACTTGTACTATTGCCACTGATTGTCCTACCGGCCAGACCTGCGAAGCCGGGACTTGCCAGGCGGCCTCGACTGATTGTACAGTTAACGGTGATTGCCCAACCGGGGAGGTTTGCAATGCTGGAACCTGCGAGGCCAGCTTGAGTTGCATAGTTTCTTCCGACTGCCCCACGGGTCAGACATGCAGTGCTGGACTCTGTCAGATCGGATCGGGTAGTGCTTGCACAGTTAGCTCAGACTGCCCTGCTGGAGAAACCTGTATTTCTGGAGCATGCGAAGCTGGCTCAGGTGGAAGCTGCACAATCAACTCTGATTGTTCCTCTGGCCAGACTTGCATTGCCGGAACGTGCCAGATAACCTTACCTGAGACTTGTGTAGTCAGCTCTGATTGCCCTACTGGCCAAACTTGCAATGAAGGAACCTGCCAGGTCGACTCGACTTCTTGCACGGTTACCGCTGACTGTCCTACTGGTCAGATTTGCAATGCTGGAATCTGTCAGACCGGACCAGGCATTGACTGTACAGTTAACTCAGACTGCCCAACTGGGCAAAACTGCAACGCTGGGACATGCGAAGCTGCCTCGGGCGAAAGTTGTACAGTCAACGCTGACTGCACTGTTGCTGGCCAGACCTGTGTTGCCGGAACCTGTCAAGTTGATCCAGGCAATAGTTGCACAACTACTTCTGACTGTCCTACTGGCCAGACCTGCAATCAAGGGACTTGCCAGGTCGAGCCCAATACCACTTGCACCGTTAATTCCGACTGTCCCACCGGCCAGACCTGCAACGCTGGAACTTGTCAAGTAGGATCAGGTAATAGTTGCACAACTACTGCCGACTGCCCTACTGGCGAGACCTGCAATGCAGGAACTTGCGAGGCTGAACCTAGTATTAGCACTTGCGCCGTTGACTCAGACTGTCCTACAGGTCAAACGTGCAATGTTGGTATTTGCCAGACCGGAACAGGCTCGAACACTGACTGCAATTCTGATTTAGACTGCCCTCTGGGACAGTCTTGTATCACTGGGCTCTGCCAGGTTGCTAATAGCTGTCTGCTTGATTCCGATTGCCCGACAGGGCAGAGTTGTGTTGCCAGAATCTGCCAAAGTACCTCAACTGGCTCTTGCACAGTTGATGCAGACTGCCCAACCGGACAGAATTGTGAGGCAGGAACCTGCCAAATTCCAACTGGTAGTTGCACAATCAACTCGGATTGTGCTACCGGCGAGATCTGTAACTCTGGGACTTGCCAGACCGCTATTACTTGTACTAACAGCTCAAACTGTCCAACAGGCCAGAGTTGTATCTCTGGAGTTTGTCAGAGCTCAACTAGCTCTTGTAATACCAGCGCAGACTGCCCCACTGGCCAAACTTGCACTTCTGGCACTTGTCAGATCTCAACTGATAGCTGCAATGTTTCCTCTGACTGTCCCTCTGGCCAGACTTGTATCGCCGGAACATGCCAGACAGCTACGACCTGTACTACGAGCGCGACCTGCCCAACAGGTCAGAGCTGTGTCTCTGGAGTATGTCAGACCTCTACCGATACTTGCACCACTACCGCAGATTGTCCCTCCGGTCAGACTTGTATCGCTGGAACTTGTCAAACCTCTGCCACCACCTGTGATACTACAGCGGACTGCTCTACCGGCCAGACCTGTATTGCGGGGACCTGCCAGACATCAACTAATACGTGCAATACGAGCGCAGACTGCCCTACTGGTCAGACCTGTAATGCTGGAACCTGTCAAATCTCAGCCAATACTTGTGTTACGAGTGCAGACTGCCCTACTGGTCAATCATGCAATGCCGGGACGTGCCAAACCTCAACCAACACTTGCACTACCAGCACAGATTGCCCTACTGGCCAAACCTGTGTCTCCGGTACTTGCCGTGCCTCAACTAACACTTGCAATACGAGCGCAGACTGCCCTACTGGTCAAGCATGCAACGCAGGGACTTGTCAAACTACCTCGACTGGCACTTGTACTACAAGCGCAGATTGCCCGACTGGTCAAACGTGTAATGCAGGGACTTGCGAGACTGCCTCAACCGGCACCTGTAATACTTCTACAGACTGCCCAACAGGTCAGACCTGTGTCTCTGGAACTTGCCGAGCCTCTGCTGGCACATGTACTACTACTGCAGACTGCCCAACCGGGCAAACATGCAACGCTGGAACTTGCCAGACTACCTCGACCGGAACTTGCAGTACCAGTTCAGACTGTCCTACGGGCCAGACCTGCGTGTCAGGAACATGCCGAGCCTCAACTGGCACTTGCAGCACCAGTGCGGACTGCCCAACCGGCCAAACGTGTAATGCAGGGACTTGCCAGACTGCGTCGACTGGCACTTGCAGTACTTCTGCAGACTGCCCTACCGGCCAGACATGCAACGCTGGAACTTGCCAGACTGCCTCTACCGGTTCCTGTACAACAAGTGCAAATTGCCCAACAGGTCAAAGTTGTGTCTCCGGAACTTGCCGACCCTCAACTGGCGGTTGCACCACTAGCTCTGACTGCGCTACAGGCCAAGTCTGCAATGCAGGCACTTGCACGACTGGGTCGGGCAATAGCTGTGATACCAGCAGGCCGTGCCCATCTGGCGAGAACTGTGCTTTCGGAATCTGTATTTCGATTAGTATTGGTGGAGGTTAAGGGAGCGGACGGGACTGGGTTCATGAATGGTGCTAATAGCTGATTATTCTGGATCGATCATCTCGATCCTTCTCAGTAGCTGTTAATGAAGATTTAAGAATGATTCAATTTCATTACATATAAGTCAACGATTTCCCTGTGATATGAATGAGCTTACTACCACATGAATATTGCTTTCCCTCACTGAAGAAGTACCAGATCACCTTCTATGGGCGGTCTGATCTATTCATAGTCAAATATAGGACACGAATACCACATAAAACTCATGGAATATAGTCTCTGGCTATTGTATGAGCCTCCAAATCCTGGACATCAAATACTGATACGCCAACACCCAGTAGGTAATAAATAGGTCAGCCTTTCCTATCCATTCTCGGCATCATGCCATATCTGTCTCATCGTGGTCGGGCTCGCGCTTGCGTAACTCGGTGTCAACCCCATCCTTATTCTTCTCACCCTCTGTCTCCCACTTGATTTCATCATCCGATGGCACCCAGGGTGGATGCATTCCCGGCCGGAGATACTGGCGGTAGTTGGAAGGTTCCAGCATCGGTTTAAAGGAGCCACCTGTCCATCTCAGAACAGATCCGAAATTCCTATTGCCACCAACAGTTAAACAAAAATATTCATTGATGACAAACATATTGGTTATGCTGAATCTGGGTTGATTGAAGTTTTTTGGTGCCACTTACTCATATCCAGGCTTCTTGCAGTATGGACCCTTGTTTCCCCCAACCTCATTCATGCAGTACTTCATCGACTCGACCTTGCCAGGTCCAATAATGCAACTCCAACCTGGAGAGTTGGAGCATCTGCCTCTACTGCAAGAGTGTGAGTATGGCGTAACCGTCATGCAGCAATATGTGTCGTAGCCATCGGGACAAATTGGATACTTCGCAACGCCATCCATCCCATAAACGGGACCGCTAGCACTGACGCTGGCAGCAGCCAGAAGTGTAGCCAAAGCACTGGCGAAATACATGATGTTTGACTGAGAGAATCTCTTCTGCGTTACTGAGAGTTTAGGAGAAGGCGGGGAGAAATGGGGAGAGGGGATGAAGCCTGGAGTAGTGAAAGGGCTGGTGTCAGCGTAGCATTTGGTCGTGAGGCGCCCGCAAAGACCCCTGTTTTTCCATTTTCAATGTCGTCACACCATATCCAATAGGCCAAGTACACGATACCGGTAAGGCAGACCGACACCCTTGCAATTGAATGGTTCGCATAGCGAATCAACTCGTGTTAATTTTCCGCGGATGGATACGGAATCTACGCAGGCACTCAGGCAAATAGCATGCAATAATGCCCAACGAGTATAGTATCAACACGGCACACTTTCATGGTCATAAGGATTTGGCCAGTAGAGTTCGGAACCCCAAAGACAAGTCCCGTCAGGTACCGCCTTTCCACGGCCGTTGGGTTATCTATGGGATCGAATCGACGTTCTGTGCGGCCTATGTTCTGTTTACGGTTGCGCTTGACTCAACGATGCTTGTCTTGTACGAATTCTGCGAGATTATGCGGCATCAAGGCATATGCTGGAGACGCGTTTTGGAGACGTTAAGATCGAATTACATCTAAACGGTCTAAGATAATTAATTTGTGCCTTATTGTTCGGTGCGATGTGTCAAAACTTGTGCAAAGGATTCCAGGAGATTGGATTAAAATTCTTGCCGTAAAATCTTTTCTACAACGAGACTTCAAGGTTCTTGAACGGCGTTTGCAGGGCCGTGGCTACTGGATGCTTGGGCGTTTGATAGATATGATATGCCAAAAGCGTGCAGCCTGTGGTTTATTTCCCCTGGCATATTGAAATGAGAAACTTTGGCGGCCGCCACATATACAGTCCTTACACAAAGACCATGCTTACTGTACTGGCGCAATATGGAGAAAAGTTTTTGTGTGGCAAAGGGTAGGAGTGTGCTTGACCACCCTTTGGATGGGGTTAAAATTGCTGTGCTTATTTATTCCGACTTGCATGATATATAAATAAAGTCCCCCCTCTACCCAATAATGCTTGGTAACGCTGATTAGCAACAGACATCCCAGATGCACCTCTTAGAGTTGTAAATATTTCATCCAAAAATGCAAGATGGGGTCAAGTTCATATAGGCAATGGAGATTTCTCAGCACAGTGTATAACCGTCTAAAGGCTTTCATTCTGAGAATAAACTCCTTAGGAGATTGAGAACGGTCAAGGAACAAATAATATACGGCGTAAGAACTGTACGAAATATGCGAAATGGGCTGTACGTGAAATAAGTGGTGCAAGACGTATTTGCGCCATGGGGATTAGTAGTCTCACTATGTAGCACCACAACTAACGACTGATTGCGCCTCAGTTCGGCTACGACTGACCAGAATGATTGTAAAAGGAGAAAGTAACCGTGTAGCATATTTTAAGACACTGATTCCATGAAGGACCCTAATCGCGAAATTTGGTAGGCCGCTGCAATCATCTGATCTTGATTTCGTCTGCCTCTTCTTCCGACCCAGCAACTATCAGCGAATTCGACCAAGGTTTTCTCAAATTTCGAGAAATGAAACTTGTCGTGGACTATCTTAGTTGGACCTTTGATTTGCCCCTACTTCTGGCTTGAAAGTTCAATCAAAACCACCTCTAAGCCTGTAGTTTTCTGCAGAATCGTAGGGCATGTGTGTTTTTTTTCAGGATCAGAACGTTCATAGTCCCGCTGTTTCCATGTAGTATGCCTTGTATCTTGCAGCTGATTCATAAAATATATGAAAGACACTGTTTTATATGTGTGCTTTGTCTCCAATGACTAAGATGGTTGGATGGATGCTATTTGCGCTAGGTGGAATTCCGTTCCGCGTTATCCGGTGGGAGCATCGGGAAGTCTTGGCTTTTAAGCATACAATCTACCATAATAATGGCCCATAAAAACACCTCCCGGCATCTCAAACAGGTGAGCGTGGCGTGTTAGCCCTTTACAGAGATATAGGGGCTTTTAACTTTTAAGGCAAATTTGTATCCATATATCCAAGTCCCTGGTGTGATTCGTTTACCAAATTAGATAGGACTGTGGGATATCGAAAGGGGAACATGGTCGATGAGACATATCAGCCCCAGGCGCGTGCTGGCGGTGAGAGATGTCATAGGCTCAGCTCCCAAAAATGCCGCCTGCCTGCAGGTCCATGCGAGGGTGCATGGCGGACAACGCAGCCCTACTCCATACCCTTGTGCCCAGACGAATTCCCCAAACTAGGCTGCAATGGATCGGCCACCTGTCAGACAACTCCCTTGCTTGTTATTGGTTTGTGTGCCGCGCCCCTGGAGCGACAGGCCCAGAGACGCCCGAGGCACAAACGCGCGACCCCGGGCAATGACATAGAAGCCTGGATAAAGCAAAGACAAAGGCAGATCACTAGCCTAGCCACAGATCATCATGTGGCGGGGCGTCAGATTCAGTAGAGTCTGACATCAGTATGTATTCCTTCAACAGGGGCCAGTTTGCCTCCCTAGTGCCATTCCGGCTCAGCACTTGCTTGCGGCTGAACTGCATGGGAGGCTGTAGCGTGTCATGAGGATGCTCGTGAGTGCCTTCGTCCATGCTGCCGATCGTGCCAAGCCCGAACTTGCAGAGTACAAGACAGAAAACTGCCTAGCAGTCAACCTAGGGTGGAAATCCATATGACGGTGCCAAGAGGTTAATCGAGCGCTACACGCCCAAAGGGCAGAGTGGTTGGGCCTTTGTTCTTTTGGGGGCGGCTATTGAATCGCCCTGTAGCTTTGGTCCAGGCGGAGATAAAAAGGATGCAGCGGCCTTGAGCGGCCTTGGTGTTTTGTTACGATGTTGTATTAATAGAGCTTCCCCGAGCCTTGTCTCCTTTTGAATCCTCATTCTTCATCAGCTACTCGTTCAAAGTAACAATTCGATTGACCGCGGTCAAGATGTACGCCAAAATGCCCAACATGCTCGCTCTCCTCCTCCTCTGCTTCACCAGCTTCTCCCTCGCGGCCGAGAACTCCGGTGTTGTGGGCTTCTCCCCAGCCTCACCTCTGTTTGACCGAAACTTGGACATGAGCTTGGAACCCCGTGCCGTCAGCCAGTCGTGCTTCACGTCCGTAGTCAATAAGCTGTCCCCTCCTCTGCCGACCAACAGTGCTTTCCTCCGCTGGGCCACTGCCTCCCTTGTTATGCCCACCTGCACCGTCACCGCTCCCGCCAGCCTCTCCTCCGACTACATGAGCTACGACAAGGTTCTGTCCACCTGGCTCGGCACCATCAAGTCCGCCGCCGGCAACATCAAGACCGACTGCGGCGCTGCCAAGATCTCCCTCACCTTCTCTGGGTACTGCAGCTCGTCGCGCACCGTCTTCTTCACCAACGCTCAGCAGACCCAGACTGCCACGCTGCCCAAGATGGACAAGCCCGATACCATCTACATCACCGGCGCTGGACAGGCTCTCCAAGCTTCATACCTTCTGGCTATTGGTGCCACCCTTCTCGCGCTGGTGCTTTAAGCTACATCCCTAGCTGTGTAGCCCAGGCCTTGTGGCAAGATGGGCGTTCTTTCGTCTGGTAAATTTGGCATTTTATGGAGCATTGGATTGCGATTCTCTTTTTTGGAATTGCTGTCGATTGGACGGCTGGGATGAGATAATGAGATGAACCATATGATTGAACGCGCATCGCATAGATCATAGTATATACCCTCACTAGGCACATGAATACGAATATGAAAAAAATCTATTTATTTTTTCTTCGCCCGTAGGCTTTAAATACATCCGCAAATGCGCGAAGCTTGTTTTCTTTTCCTTTTCCGTTCCACACCTCTCCCCGGCCACCTGGATGAACTACGCGATGGCTGCAGCCATTGATGTGGCACTGCACGCTGCAATACTGAAGATGTGAATGGATTTGATTACCTGATGGAACAAATCGAATTGACCGATTCATGACACATTCCGAAATTGAGGTCAGGAAGGATGCGGCTCTCAAGAGCTCTTTGGGACTTTGGTTGCCGATTATCACCTTGGCACCTCCACACCAGCGGGGTTTGAGGCTGGGCAGCTTTGTTCAGGGATATATATTGACACGACTGAAGTTCCGATTTTGAAAATTTCTACTGCCAATTCAGCTTCTGACAATTGATATTTTCGTAGCCAACCACACTAGCTGGAAATATGCCATAGATGGTTATAGAGTCAGGGGAGAACAACTACTAACCCATATCATGGATGGTAGAGAGAGGGTACTTGTACTGATGATCAAGAAATAAATTGGTATCTAGAATTTATACCAACATGGGGTTTGGTTTCTTAGGTTCAATCCTATCGGATCAAATAGTTCATATAATTCATAAGCTCAAATTTGCTGCTATCAAGACCAAAACAAGGAAAGACTGACCCTTCAAAGGCGGGCTATTTGAAGAGAGGATATGATGAGAAGAAAAAAGTATGGACTTCCTAACTGTGGCATATAGCTTCATTGTACCGGCTTTTGTCGGTATAACGGGTGGTCCCAGTCTCAGTGCTCAACCAGGTGAAAGAGGTGCCCATTGAAGATGGGGATACAAAAGACTCTAGAATTGAGCTTCCATAAACCAGTTTTGATAAGCTTCTGGATTCTCTTCAGTGGAAAGTCCATCGAACGCAACGCATCAAGTATCAGCAAAACGGCGTTTATATATTTACGAATTCCTATTGAGCCTCGAATTTTTGTTTGCGTTTCTTGATTCTGGATATGAAGATGGATAGCAGCAGAACTTCGATAAAGCCTAGGATAATGACCTTTTTATTCACCTAGGATCGCTGTATCGGTATAGCTATGATCGGTTCTTCAAATATCGTAATATCTGAGATGCCATCATGAAAGAAAATGGAAGCCGTTGTGCTTAGCCCTACCTAACTGTTTGTCGCATTTCTTAACCAGCGATGTTTGATATTAAGAAATATAGTTTGAAGCTAAGAAGTAATTCCGAGTAAGCCGTCTTTCTTCTGAGTTGTTTGTTTAAAGGCCTGTTGCTAGCGACTGCATGTAAGATAGCTGTTGAATGGGCCCAGTAGTTCCCAAATTGATCGCTGACAATAACAATGATGGCACTTTGCATTGCAGCCTGAAGCAGCTGGAGGCAGCCGGGTATCCACAATTGGCGAGTTGCAATTGGACATATTTGGGGCATATTTAAGAATAGAAAATGGTGAGGGGGCACATAACCGTGAATCGATTCTTGCCTTCACTCAATTCTTCACCACCTCATCACAATCCAAACGCTCCCACAAAGCCAACACAATGCACCTGCCTGCAGAAATAATCAGCAAGATCGTGGAGGAGTTGATCAATGTTCCCGAGACGGAGTTTCACCCATTCGATGACGACTGGTTCACCAGCCGCCGTGTTCTATGGGAGGATGTGATTTGCACCAATCACTATGATCACCATCGAATCAATATAGGCCAGGAAGCCCTCGCGCTTCGCCTGATCTCACGAGAATGGAACCAATGGGTGACAGCTATGATGCAAGAACATTTCACATGGAAGGTTGACATTGGCTCCGCCGACTCTCTTAGGAAGGCTTTGATTTGTCTTCCGGAGCCGAATGAAGGTTGTGCTCAGGGCAATGGGTTATTACCGACTCGCGAGATTGTGAGACGGCTGGTGGTAAACCCGGGGAAGGAGACTCGTGATATATCTGTCGGTGATCAACCCAAGAAGTGGAATATCAAAGACCTTCTGCTTCAACTTTTCCGTCGCCTGGGACATGTGGAAGATTTTGCCCTGCATTTTCCACGAGGAAACTCAAATGATCCAGATGTAGCCAACTCCATCGTCGAAGCGGTAGCCCACTGCTTCCAGCAGACCAACTCGTCGAGCCGTATAACAAGTCTTCAGCTCAAGGTTCCCAGTACCTATCATGCCGCACAGGCCTTCCAAGCCATTCTGCCTGATAAGCCGGCGAAAATCCGGAACCTTCTGGTTGAAATCCTCGATTCCTCTGGGAAGTCGGGAAGCAGAGACTATCTTGAGAAATCATACATGGAGGACGAAGACATCGATGGAACCGCGGAAGAATCAGGGGATGACGAACCAGCGCTAGACTACAATTCGAGCTTTGACAGATCTCCTCTTCAGCGAATATACCCCAACAGACGACACCAACAGGAATTATGGGAGTGCATCACTGAATGCAAACACCTGCAAGCGCTGAGTATTCAGGGTACTCATTACCTTAATTTGCGCCGGCTTCACTGGCCAGCAGCTCCTAACTTTACAGACCTTCGTGTGCTTCATCTCGGCCGGCTCTATAGCGGTGTCACGCCTATCCAGAAACTTATCAAACGGGAAGGGAGACCAGCTTCATTACAGAAGCTTATAATAGACGACGTCAAAATGCCATTGGATGAAGGAATATGGGGCGCAGTTCTCCAATTTCTTTTGGATGAATGTCCGAATCTTGAATTACTCTTTGTGTATAATCTGAGCTATTTTCAGGATGTCGGCCGATGGGCCGGGCTCAGCTCACCAGAAGATGGCACCGTCATTGATTCTAGTGAACGTGATGACGAGGAACCATTGAAAGAACTAATTCATATGTTCGCGGACAAATTTGGCAGTTCTGATACCTGGCCGTATTGGCTGAGGGAGATGTGTCAAGATTTGGACATCATGGAGGATTACCAGAAGAAGTGATTTCATAAACTAGATAGGACCTGTCATAGAACATCAGCGCGCTCTATGTTTACTTGTAGTCGTTTATTCTTACTATCGTCTCGCACTTTTGTACCTACGCAGATTTTCCCGGCGACCAACTGGTGTGGCTTGGTTTAAAAAAAGAAGACACTTGTCATTGATCGTACATGTAGCTAGGAAATCATGATATCTGTGGTTGCCGCCTCGCCTCTCTCTAGTCGCTCTATTAAGCCCCCATCTCGAATATGCTGGGCTTCCCTGGCAGCTTGCACTCTTTCGTTAAGAGTGCCCGACAAGACGTCTTCAAACATAGGATTACGTTCCAAAACCATAGCATGGCCGAGTATAGTATACAGCCCTCCATCTTTTCTGAGAGTGAATGGGTCGTTGCAACCAAGAAGCACCCACACCTCATCTCCAATACGCGCGTTTAATATGGTTTTAATTTCCGCTCCACTTTCTCCGACAAAGTGTGAAAAAGATGAAGTGGTCGCATTGGGTTTCGCACGCATCAGACAATCTGCGAGAATACCACGAGCTCGAAGGATGCGATGTGGCCTGCCATAGCTGTCTGCATGAAAGGAAGCAACGGCCTTTCTGATTTGCGATGCTCGACTGGCACCAAGAGAATAGTTCATAGAATCATAACGGATGTCTTCAAGAAAAGTCTTGTACTCGGTGTCTGCATCGTCTTTGACAGACCAGTCGGGTACCCACGATGGTAGTTGATCCGTGGGGGATTGGACTCTCGACCTGTCATTTTGCATCGCTATTTCCAGAATATCAAGACGCTCTTGCTTCAGAATTATTGCACGGGCGACTTCTGCAAGGACCGAGTTGGCGGTTTTGGAGTAATCTACCTGGATGCCATGCCCTGGCTCGGCCAAACCAAGAAAAGCATAAACCTTATCAAGCGGCACGGATGCTTTACAGTTGCGAGAATGCCCCATTAGTTGCAGTAGGGATAGATACGGTACAGGTACCGACTTCTTTCTCTCTTGCAGTTCCTTTTTGCTCTGTAAAACAAAGTTGGTGGGCTTCCAGAGCGCCTCAGCTTCGAGGAGCCTTTCACTATGTCTCTTGACAAATGCTCTTTGGACTGCTTGTGTTTCCTCACCTGAAACTGAACTTGTGCTGCAGCGACGCAAAATCATCTCCAAACAAACGCATACTCTGGCAACTGCGCGCCATATCTCGGGGGCGAAGCCATCCCAGTCACTCCCACTCCGGGACGCTGCATCTCTGGACTCTCCAGTACACATTCGACACTCATCCAGGCAACTGCCACAGCAATTGGGCAAGCGTATCATGCAACCGCTTCCCTGCGACCGTAGCGTTCGCACCAGCCTAGCACAGAAATCACCATGCCGGTGTCTCTGGCTGAAGAACAATTGGAGTAATTTATACAACTCCTCCCACGGCGCTGAAACGTGACCGATCAAGAATGTGGCGTGGTCAGGACCCATGATTTCTTGATAAATCCAAGCCCTCTCCCACCAAGGACTTGCAATAATATCGTGGATGTGGTTCCACGCCATCATGAGCTCTCTATCACGGCTATCCGAGTCGCTGCCTACAGGATAATCTGCATCCAGACCGTACGCCATCTCTGTCTGTGCTACAGGGCCTTGAGTCACAATCGCTTGCGAGGTTGTGAGCTGGTTCTGGTGCCAGCTCCTCCAAGTTTGCCAGTCTTGGAATCCTCCTGCAACAGAGGCTGGAACAGGCAGCCAAACAAGAGTCTGGTGTGCACAGCGGTAAATGTCTCCCATCATGGATACTTGATGACCCTTTTCGACCTCATCTTTTTGATTTATGCAAATTTGGTCAACCCAAAGAAGGAGAACATCCCGTCGAGGATAATGGCGAATCCAGTGCTGTCTAACGGACTCCAGGGCTTTGGATAGATTGGTATTGATCAAGAATTGCTGGAAGTTGAGCGAAGTATTAACTTGATTTGAACTCGTCCCCCACGTGTACGATAATGCGAGGTATTTTGTCGATCGCATATTGGCTTGGCGTACAAGTTTATGCTGGTTAGAGCCACTGAGATCGACCTCCAGAAGCCGTATGACATCTGGTGTGGAGTGAAGAGACTCGTACGCAAAATTTGACGCCATGGCTAGAATAGTACTGGCCGTTCTATCTGCGCTTAATGAAAAGGAGTAGTGAAAGAGGGTGTGTCAGATATGTGGTTATCCATCAAACCGAGCGTGATCTGGGCTTTCTTTTTGCCAATACTTGGTTTTTCTCTCTCTCTTCTCTCTGGCCAATTGTTCAGCTTTCCGATGGCAGGGGGTAGAGCCTTCTCATAACATGATCGGCATGATGTGGCGTCAATAGTCTACGGCCTCCAAGAGCTTGCCTCACTCAGAATGTGCAATAGTGTTTGATCATTAGCTACTGCCTTGATTTTCCCACGGATTTGCAAAAGAAATAGCTTTTAATTCGAGCACCCGAATCCCTAGATTGCTAAACGACCGCTTATTGGGATGACCTCCTAATGCCGCACCGCGCCCAAAGGACGACGCGGAGTCTCCTATTGCACAACTTGGGTCACCGCCCCGATGATTGTGCATTATTAGTGACCAGTCACTTCAGCTATTCTCTGTGTGCATACGTTAGTCTCACCATAGTAAGACACCTCATTTACTCGTCAGCTGTCTGCGCACCAAGCTGAAAATCTCCCCGCCTTCGATCTTGTTCCTCCTAAAAATCAGAAAAAAGAACCGACCAGAACCATCATCCCACACCTGTCACTCAAAAAAATTACATTAAACGTCATGAACAATAGGCCAGATGGCTTTGGTAGCCTCCGCCGAGTAATGGAGGAGTCTGCACCACCTCCCGCACCTCGTTCGGTAGGAGTTACAGCCACCAACGGCGCCTCAACCCGCACTTCCATCGTGTTCCAGTTTGTGTCGTGGCTCAAAGGCCTACCGGAACTAAAATCCACGCTCCAGCGGCCGTATAATGAGTGCCGCGATGCCGTCACCTCCAAAATGAACGAACTTGGAGTGTCTTGGAAGGACGAGGGGCAGGGATACATGATTTGCGAGCATGGGCATCGAGGAACCCTGGATTATGTAGAGTTCAGCATCCAATGGATTACCAATGGTGCGAGCTCTCCCTCTCCTCCCGGTGCGGAGATGTGGTACACAAAGGTCTATATCAATAAAGTGTCAGGAAGCGGGCAGGCATTTCGCGATATTGGGAAGCAGGTTCTGCATGCAGCAAAATACACAATTCAGGGTGGAGTGCGCTATGATTTTTCAACCATAACTTGGGCTTTGATCTACTAGATCAATGATGGAAGGAGATCTCTTTTCTTATGAGAGGGCAAACCAACCACATTTGGGGTCTAACTGTTATATTTACTCAATCCTGGCAAAACGCCAGCTTGATCAAACTCAATCAGGTGGATATATCTTAGGTCAAACAACCTCGTTGATGGAGGCTACACATTGGATATTATATTACATCGTCCTTCCTACAATAAAATGTCAAATATGACGGAAAGGGATAGAGTGCCAGGGCTCCCCATGTATCAGCGTCCGTTCGGATCGCCCGCTATATACTTGACTATCCTCCCATTCCATAGAGACACAATCATATCTTGAGATGACCACCCTTTTACCAGACTCATGGCCGAATAGAAGGATTGTGTTCATTGGTGAGCCTTCCATCTCAATTTCGGCATCACATATTCGTCGAGAGATAGGAATATTTGGCTCGCTTATCTCAGAGACATCAGGATACCCAAGAATAGGGAAATCTTCATCCAAATCGCTGTAGCAACTTCTCTGTTCTTCCAAATCCATTACTTTCCTGGCAACACAACCTGCCGCCTTAGAATCCCAGATCCCTTCCCGGTGAGAGCAGAGCTCCAACAAACGGATAGCTTGCAGCCGAATTCTGTGTACGCGGCACTTGACCGCCATGTAGTAGAGTGCCTGGATGTTGCCAAAGTCGACAATGGACCATTCGAACTTGCTTCTGCTTGAAGAAGCTTCCGACAGTCCGTAGATAGTATGAGCACCGTGCCCCGAAAGCAAGCGTAGCAGGTGGCTGAGCATGTCGAGGAACCGACTCGTTTGAGAGTCATAGATCATCTCATCGCCAGGATTTAAGCACACCTCGACCATGACCGTTGCCATTGAGTGGTAGGCACGAATGAGCGCGTCAGCTTTCTCGGCACTTACTGGTAGTAAGCCGAGGTCTGAACTTTGGTAGCTTTTGAGCCACTGATCAAGGGCTGATCGGATGCACTCGCGCTGTTCAATCAAGCTGGGCAAGGTTTGTGTTTGCAAGCGTGCTTCTTCTGTGAGCTTGAGTATTTGGTTCATTATCCCTTCCCATCCTTGCCACGCCTTAGGTAATGTTTGGAATCTTGTAGGTATTGAGAGCAAGTTATCCGATAGCGAGAACAATGGTTTCTCTGCAATTGGCTTCCATAACTGCATTTGCAGATGTAGCCTCGAATATGCTTCAGAAATCCAGCCATCTTCTTGACCAGTGCTATGCGTTAAAGGGCTAGTGGCTCCTGGTTTAACGCGAGAGGAACACCCTTGGAGCTCTCCCAGGACTTTCAATCCGTTTCGGAGATGCATCTGTGCAGCCTTGAGATGACCCCGGAGGAAGTCTAGTGTGGTGAACATGATGCAAATGACAAGTGCTACGCGGTATGAAGCTTTGTCTTTGTTGGAGAGAAGGCGACGCAATTCGCTGATGGCTGAGATATAATGCTGTAGCATGAATTTGCTCTCTTTGGTGGGGAGATAGTCAATGGAGGACTCAATACAGTCCTCAGCCTGAAGGATCCTGGTCCGATGGAATGCCCCTAGAGCAAGTGCAGTGTGCCACACGGCCTTTTCACCTACAGTGGCCTGGAAAAGGAGAGTGTCCCAAAATGAGCTGTGGTAACTCCCCGGGAGCTTGGTCGCTGTCCGAAGCCTGAACCAATCGAAGGCCATCGCTTCCATTTCATCAACAGAAGTTGATGCAGGAAAAACGGGGTATGCTCCAGGAGTTCGAGACAGAACCAGGTCCGAGTTGGTACAACGCTCTGACGAGGAACCATGACTCTGGCATCCCAAGGTGACTATGGGATGCGCTTTAGGGGCTCCTCCCCCACCCCAGATGCCGTACCCGTCACATGTCCGGCCTGTTTGTATGCATCTCTGGCATGCCGGGCGGCTTTCATCGCACTTTACTTTTCGTATCCTAATACAGGAGGCGGCGGGATGAGCTTACATTGAACAACATGGGATAACTGGCAAGGGGTTGAGGTAACTTACTTGCAAGTTCGGCAGCCTGACTTCACCCTGACCTTGGGTTGCCCTCCAACACGGCTAGTGCGAGCCATATTGGTCTTGGAAAAGGTGACCGTGTGACTGCGGCGGCGGAGATATGAAGCCCTGCGCGGAGTGGAAAACCTTCGTTCGTTGTTGGTGAGTGGGAGCAATGGTCGATGATGTCGTGCGGCGAGTGATAACCACGAGGCTTTCCCTAACCCATGCCAAGTCCGCCCTCTTGATTGGCCCTGTCGGCTAATTTGTCATTTGATTGGTACATCCAGGGGCAGGTGGATATCATGGGGCGAAGCTATTCCGGTGAAGAGTCAGAAACCCGGAATAGCTGACCACCGTCTCATATTAGACAGTGGGCCCGTTGCTTGTGTATTATGTGTTTGTCCAGTTTGTCCGTATGGTCCGATTGACAGAAGTCTTCGGAATATGAATGATCAAAGGAAGACTAGCAAATGCACATCACACAAGTCGCCGCCGATCAGATCGGGTCTTCGTGCCGTGTCAGCCCCCCATACTGGAATGTGAAGGGCCCGCAAATACACGATCAACATCCATTCGCCTGCTCGGCAATTCTCAAACCTTATTGGATCATGGGATGGGTAATCATGGCCCCTTCCCAAAGAGTCGTATCTTCGGGTATGCGTCTAGGTATAGGAAATCAATACATAGCAGAAGTATTTCAGAGGATTTTTGTATATATAAAGCACCTTTCTACCCAGATATTGCAAGAAAATCCATGGCAATTCAAACCTGAACTGAAACCTACCAACTAAATCCAAAAGTACAGATCACGATTTGACCCAACAGCAAGATGCCGGCAAATAACGTCCCTACAACACGTCTGGGAGATAACGGCCCAGCCGTGCCCGTCCTTGGCCTCGGTCTCATGGGCCTGTCCAAGGGTCCATACGGTCCAATTCCCAGTGATGATGAGAGACTCGCGTTTCTTGACCGCGCTTTCGAGCTTGGTTATACATTTTGGGACAGCGCTGAGTGAGTTTTCCCCATTTAAGCTAACACAATATGATTCTTATTCAACTTGCTAATTATAACATCCAGTTTATACGGAGACAGTGAAGAACTCATAGGCAAATGGTTCAAGCGTACAGGGAAGCGGGATCAGATAATTGTATCTACCAAGTTTGGCTTTATCAAGGGAAGCAAGACGCTCGAGGTTGACAGTTCTGGGGCATATTGTAAGAAGGCGTGTGATGAATGCCTCAAGAATCTTGGCATCGATTGTATCGACCTCTGTAAGTTCTGCCTGCTTTTCTGAGATTAGAGGAGTAGATATCAACTAACATCTATTCAACAGTTTATATGCACCACGCAAACCATAAAACCCCCATCGAGGAAACAATGAGGGCTCTTGCTGAACTCAAAGCGTAAGTAAATATCTCCGACTGTCCCTCACCATAGCCTAACTCATTGTTGCCAGAGAAGGAAAAATCAAGCACATTGGTCTCTCTGGGATAAGTGCTGCTACCCTTCGTCGCGCGGTTAAGATTGCTCCCGTCGCTGCTGTTCAAACCGACTACTCCCCTTTCAATCTGGAAATCGAGCAAGCACACAGCGGTCACCTTCTCAAAGCCTGCCGAGAGCTTAAGATCCCCGTGGTTGCTGCCATGCCGCTCGCTCGCGGGATGCTCACCAACCGATTTGCCAACGGCGATGCGCTCACTGAAGGCGAGGATATGCGCAACAAGCTCATTCCTCGTTTCCATGACGGCAACCGAGAGAAGAATATCGAAGTCGCCAAGCAATACCAGGCATTGGCTGACAAGAAGGGCTGCTCGGTGGCGCAGCTCTCCCTCGCCTGGCTGCGGAAGCAAGGAGGGGATATCATCCCCATCCCAGGAACTAAGCAAATCAAATACCTCGAGGACAATTGGGCTTCATTGAATGTTGAACTGACAGTGGAAGAAGAGGCTGAAGTCAGACACCTTTCAGAGACCGCAGAGTTGGCCGGCTACCATCTGCCTCCCGCATTCGCAAACTTCTTGTTTGGTGACACCGTTGAGGAGGCTTAGGTCAAGGACCTTTCGATACCGGTTAGGGGTATAACATAGATAAAAATAAAGGCAATTGCAAAATGTCATAGCTGCAAGTTTAGAATTCTTTCAATCTAAGAAGAGCTCTAAATTGAGGACCAAGGGCCGAATGCTAGCAAGTCACCGACTGTCGACACTTGACGCGCATGTGATGTTCCTCCCTATCCCAAGTCCCCCAATTCCACTCAAACTAGTTGGCTTAGTACACATATCTGAAGTGAGGGTTCTCAAAGTCCGTGATATCCTCGATTCTTTCCGTCTCTGCTGGCACGCTGGTGTCAGCATCTCTTTGCTTATTCCTCCAGATCAGCAACATTCGCAGCATAACAGCAATCACTATTTGGCCACAGATGCAGCCAATAATCAATTTGCATCCAGTTTGGTAAATAGGTGCTTCTTTTCCAAGGAACCCATGTGGGCCAATGATGTTTCCGATGCAGTAGGCGAGAAACACGAAAGCGGTGGCTGTTGTTCGCTTCGTGTAGCCGGCCACGTTCGATGCAGGCATCTGCAAAGCAACAATGAGCGACCCGATGAATGAGGCGCACTAATCATCTGTTAGTAAAAGGAATCCTTTGATCTGGTAAACTCAACAAAAGTCTGTGATACTTACCAGGTAGTAGCCAGCCAACAACCCTCCCTTATTGGTTCGAGGAAGTTGCCAGAAGAGTGTTACGGCGACCAAAGTGGGCAGCAGCCAGATTATCATCACGATCGTGCGGAAGTTCTTGACTTTACTAGCCACGAACGGTCCGGTAAACATAAAAAAGGCGGTACACGCTCCGTAGGGAATTCCATACACGGTGGTGAGCAGTGGATCACTTGTAAACCCCTTCACAATGAGTTTCGAGAAGTTTGCAATTCCTCCATTGATGGTCTCGTTGAGCAAGGTGTAGAAGAAGAGAAGCCAAATCTGGCCGTCTGTGAAAACTTCCTTTACCTGGTAGAACTTGATCTGGCGGTTGAAGACACCAGTCCTGCTGCGCTTGCTCTGGCCGATAAGCATCGCACGCTCGTCGATGGAATAGCTCTTTGCTGTGAGGATGTTGTCGGGCAAGAAGAAGTATAGAATAACGGCCCATACGATTGTCAGTCCACCGCAAAGGATGTAGATGATACGCCATACATCCCAGCCTTTGGCTTGTCCGACACCGAAAAACAGAATACCAGCGAACATGCTACCAAATCCGTTGAAGCAGTAGAACAGACCGGCTCGGGCTGGTTGCTTCTCAATGGCGAACCATTGAGACACGATCAGCATGAAGGCAGGGGTAACGACAGCTTCAAAGACGCCCAATAAGAACCGGGACACTGCTAGACCAGGAAAGTCTTTAGCGGCAGCAGTGCATAGAAGGACGATTCCCCAGGAAAGGGCACAGGCGCTAACGACTTTCCCCGTGGGCAAACGTTGAGCCAAGTAGGACATGGGCCACTCCGCTGCGAGGTAGGCGAAGTAGAAGATGGAAGCCATCCAACTGTATTGATCGCTCGTCATCCCCGTTGAGGAGAAAAGGTCAAAGACAGCAGAGTAACCGAGTGCTTGCTTGTCAACATATTGCAGTAAGTAGGTCCCACACAAGAGAGGCATTAAGAGCCAGTCAACTTTTCGACGGAGCCGTTTGAGAGACGCCTCGTCTGACATCAACTGAGCCAGTCGTTCTTCTGAAATGTCATGTTCCTGAAGGAAAATATCTGCCTCATCTCGGGTGTATGAATCAACTACTCCATTTTCAATGTCACTTTTCGCATCGTTTGGCTTGCTCAGATCATGTTTGGCGTCAGACATGTTGCAAGGAGAGGTCGGTTTGGGAAATGTTCAAGAATAGTCACTGAAGCGGGAATGGTTTGTCTCTCCCAAGTTCAGAACGGAATCACAGAGACACACAGGAGATTTATTGTTTTCTTCTGATGCCAAGGAGATAGTGAAGCTTTGAAGCCTGGGTCTGAATATTGATCATTTGCGGGGAAGTGATACGCGTAGTGGCAACGAAAGCCGGGGTATGGTATCTTTCCTATCTCAGGTCTTATCTCCTAAATTGATATGGCATGGGTTCCTGTCTCCGGAGCTCAGAACATGGACCGACTTCGACCAGGTAGTGTCACCGCGGGGCTCTGAATGGATTGTTTTCAAGATATGAGCAGCCTTAGCGCCAACCGGTTCAATAATTCCCTGAAGGTCAGAATAATCCGTGCCCACTTGAACAAGGGATTTACACCAATAGGACGTTGGCAGATAGGAGAGGCTGGAAATCAGCTGATATTAATCCCGTGTTCATGCCAACAGCCTAATACAGCACACATTCCCGGCATCACTGTCGTTACTTATGCAACATGATGCGGAAAGAATAACTTTCGGAACTGAGTTTTCCCGCATTGTCACCATTCATTGCGTGTTATTCGTCAACAGAAAGGACTTCAACGGGCAAAGATTTAGGTCATACGGAAGCTTCTACGCTTTAGCCTTAGATATTCTGGTATGTTAGAAGCACAATTGAAGCCTTGGTCTTATCTTGTAGCAAGATACGTCATGGATAATATTGTCCGGTCTGGCTCAAATATGCTGATATGCCCCCTTACTGACTCGACATGAATGGGGCTGTGGGTCACTCGCAA